TTTTCTCATTAATCTCCGTCTCTGTCGCTCGTCTCTTTCTCTGCCCAACTTAAAACAGCTGTCTGTGTCGGCAGGGACCTGCGGTTGTTAGCGGCGTGTTAGAAACAGCCTCGGCTTGAGTCAAAGTTTAGTTTTGAAATGTCTGAGTACATCAAAGTGTGCGAAAACGGGTATAGGTAATGGGTAAATAATAACCCAGAGCCTTAAAGATAATAGAAGTCTCTTTTGAAAACATCTGAGATACCCCGTGAGGGAGTGGTGCTCATGCGCTTAATGTTTCCAAGATTTTCTCAACAATTTGTTAACTTTTTCCTTTCCACTCGTTTCATACTTTTGCCACCTTTTGTCTCTGAGTGATGCCCTGCACTAATACACCTTGTGGTGTGTTTACGATTCTGGCTATACGGTGGAAAGATCACAGAGAAACCTTTCCTAACCAAAAGCCAAATCACGGGCTTTTCAAATCGAGCATGTTATCCGTTTATTTGACCTCTGAAGAGTCTCGCTGGGTGGTTGGACATTTAAACTACTGTCTTACGTAAATGCTGCAGAGCCACCCACACTGAGAAGTTTGTTATTAGAGGTGCCAACTGTAGAAGAGAACATATGGACAAGTGGTGACTGTCTACGGGGATCATCGCTTTAGTCAAAATACAGGCTAACCAGTTAAAAAAAAACACACCTTTTTTTCACTCCTTACTCAATACAAATAAAACTTTGTGATTTCTTATGCAGCTATCACTGCCGTTAAGTGATCTGCTGACTTTACAGGGTCCTGTTTATTTTGCCCCTTCCGATTTAGAGGTTTGGGCCTGTCTACTTTGGGAGATTTTGCAATGACAATTTCCTCCCCGGAAATGGGACACTTTGTACCTGCTTTGACAACTGGCAGTAATTATCTGTCATCTACTCATCGTCTTCTGTCAGAAAATGTTGTGTTATGAGTAGAGTTTTCCAGCAGAAGGTCACTTAAAATTGTTAGCTTTTCATCAGGGTTCATAATGTATAACAGTAAATAGTAATTGAGTATAATACAAAGATCGAAGATAATAAAATGCATTGACTTAAAAGACAAATGAGAGAGGGACCCTGTAGATAGTATTTGAAAGTGCTCAACACTCATACACAATGGTTCAAGTGAAACGGTATGAAGGGGTTCGTTTACGGGTACTAATTGGAAATATTAGGGAGTGAAATGACAAATTGACTTTGAGCCTTATAATTTTTTTCACAACTTCCCACACTTTCTCAAATTTAAAGTTTGACATCTTCAAGGTGCATATTTTCATGCAAGAAATTCAATGTTTTCTCCTCAAGCTTTTTTTTTTTTTTTTTTTTTCCCCCGTAACTTTAGGTTCATGTTTTGGGACATTAACTTGTTGGGGGACCAGAAGCTGCTGCTGAGCCTGGACAATACAGAACAATACATTTCAACCCAGGAAATGTCACCTCGTTATTCTGAGATGCACAGATTTAAGGTTCCTTTAGCCAAATGTTTTGCGTGTTTCTTGGGTCTCCTATCTTTTTCTGCCAGACAGTGAAATCCATTGATGATGGTTTTCAATGGTTCAATGTTTCTCCTGTTGTTTGATTATCATTCCCATCAGCTTTGAGTTTCATTCCACAAGATTTGGATGCAGGATTCTTATTGCAATATTCTTGATATAAAATCTTAACTTTTTATATCAATAATCTTCTTTCCAAGCTCCTCAGACATCTTCCCCACCTTTTTCTGCATCTGGCCTTTGCTTAGTGTAAGGTAATATTTTAGTATCATCAAAGTGGGTAGCAAAATCCAAGGCTATGTTTGTTCCTTTTAAATAGTTTTTTTTAAATAGCTGCTAAAAGCTTGTGGGTGCATAGGAAACTAATTGGGATTAAATGGCTTCAGACAAGATAATAAAGCAATGATTAATTATCTCTTTAGGGGAAGGATCTGGAGCCTCATTTGGCTCTGTAGACCTTTCACATTTATCTTAATAAATTTGGTGAAAAATGATGTAGAATGAACAACGCTTTTTAAGTATAGCATTTTTGTCAGTTTAGTTTTTTCATGGAACAATTAAATTAAATTTCCACAAATGAATTACACTAAATGGGCCAGCAATTTAAAAAAAAAATCTGCTTCTCCTTCAGTAGGTTGTGTTTTTACACAATCACACATAAATATGAACATCTCAGAAGAAAATGTATCCATCCTCTCTTCACTAAAGTTTTATTTTTCTTGATTTAAAAACCTAGAAATAGAAATGAAGTGGATGTTCTTTAAAACGACAGCAAATATCCTATTATAAATATTTCTATGTTAGCATTTAGCACTCCTAGCATTGTGAAAACAACAGTCTGAGTATCCTTTCATAAAATGTATATCATTGCCCCCCGAAATTTCTAAATGACTGCCAACAGTACCAAATATGTCATATTTTACAAGAGACAAAGGTTGAAATCTCCAAATACTGAAACAGAATAACTTTACTTTGGTCACCCTGCCTGTTATCATCTGAATGTATTGCTCTCTCTCAGCCTTAACATGTAACGATTTGCATAGCTTTTTAAATCTCTGCAATTCCTCTTAGTTAACAAAAAGGCTTTTTTCAGTTTCCACATCCACACCAAACGGTGTTGGTGTCAGCCTGATCTGGTAGCACTGAGGTGTAACGCTTTCACTGATCAGTAAAATATTATAGACCACCAATCAGCACTGATAGAATAGGATGATACCAATTAGGATATCTTTGTAAAAATAAACAACACATAACTTATTTTCACAAAAAATATTGGTTTGCTTTTCACATACAAAAGAAATCCTGGTACATATTATTTTCTCCTTTGAACGTTTAAATCAATTTTCAGGAGAAATGAAGCATTTTCTCATGCTAAAAGGGGTAAACCTAAGCCAACGTTAATCAAATAGCTAGCACAGCCAAGTTTCCATAGAAGCTAAACTTTATTCGTTGTCAGCTGTTCGATCTTTTTAGCCTTGTTTTATGTCTCTGGCATGAGTACAGCTGCAACAATGAGACATTGCATCAACTCCATGTGTCAGAACGGCGTGATTAACTAGAACTCTCCCACTCTTCTCTGAGCAACCTCTGCTCTTGCACAAAGTAGGTATTTATCATATTTGTCAGCCATACATTTTCTGTTATAGGCCCTTGACCCTTGAGGCATTTCTAACTGCTAAAACACCACCTCATAATTTCAGCATTTAACCTGTGGACCTTTCGCTCGGCCAAAACCAAAGTTGACGTCACACTGTGTGACAAGATGGCTGCCCTGTTGTCCAGAGTGAACTCTGCCCGCGTGGAGTCAGAGCTTGAGGTTTTGCCATTTTTAGATCCAGAGGGACAAACAGATGTAGTGGGTGCTCTCTTTCTCTCTCTCCTCTTTCTGCTTCTCTCTTCTGTTTCGGGGTGTTCTTCATGTTGGTCCTCCCCTCCTGTGATTATTGAACACATGCTTAGCCACCACAGAAGAAGCGGTTTTTGGGTGTTGACGATTGTAAGGGTGGATTCAGCAGCACGGTTGTAAAAGAGGCTGTGACACGCAATTAGTGGTTTGGTGGTCTGTGTCTGATTGAGATTTTACATGTGGCCGGTCCTGGAATAGAACCGAACGTCATCCCCCGCCCCCTCCCCCACCTGTGTGCTTTCAGAAGGCCAATTGGGTCTACACAGAAGTTCACGTGAAATCATTTTAATATTTAGTTGTCAAATTATCTGTCCGACAGCTTTCGCTTTACTTCTTTTTTTTTTCTTAACATCCCAGCTCTTAGAAAATGATTTAAAGGCTAAATATCTGTGTTCCTCATAAAGCCTGTAAAAGAAAAAAACCTTGTTTGTGCATTTTCTCAGTTTTGCATATTCTCACTTTGAAGTGGGAGATCAGAAAATACCCCACTGCAAATAGTCTCTCCGTTTTCAGATTGTGTCCTCCAACGCACCAATCCTTTGCGAGCGTTCTTGAACCGAGTCCCAGGATATTCTTCCCAGCATTTAAATATAATGGTGAAAACAGCTTGACAGTTTGGGCTTAGAATGTTCCTCAGCTTGCTCTGCACACACACACACAAAAATTACATAAGTGAGTACACTGTTAACATTGTCCTTTGTTTTTAGAATATCATAAAACCAAAGTTTATTTTCTTTTAAGTGTTGTTAACTGGAAGTAGAAAGATTATCAGAGCAAATTCATGTCGCAACATTCGTGGTTAAGTGCTGCCGCGTCATGCTTTTGCCCTCTGTCACACATTACAAGTATCTACAAACGTTTGATTTCAACGTCAATGCAGAAATGCTTATTACTTGACAGCTCGGAAGCCTAATCCCCAATCCCGGATGGGCTGCGAATGTGTGAAGGTGTGAATTTTTCAGCAAGCCTTTTCGCTGGAATACTTTCTGATGCAGGAATAACACCTCCGCTGACGTGTGAAAACGACTTCAGCTTACAGTTATACAACGCCGAAGGACCTAGAAAACAGAAAGAGGAGCTAGAAAAACTTCTACGCCACAGGAAAAGAGCAAAAATGACCGTGTGGATGTTGGTTTTCGAAACAGTCATGCAAGTAATTATGGAGGATTCAACGTTTGGCTGCCATGGCTACCTTGTGCGATTGCTCAGGGACACGGGTCACTCACTCCCTGCATTAGCAAGTAAAAGGAGGGCCATTGCAGCCACTGATGGCCTCTCAAGTAGACAGCCTTGATGGCTCCTTGTCGTTGTGACTACGTTGAGAAGGAATGTGCTGCAAGGAGGGGAGAGAAAGGGTGGGTACTGAGTGTGTGTGGAGGCCAAAGGTCCACCCACGAACAAACGAGCGGGCTGGTGGAAGGTGCAGACTCACAGTTCCAGAAAGCAAACCAGGGAAAACACAAACCTCAAAGCAGCTGGGTGTGATGCCAGAGGAAACTCTACCAGCAGATCAGGCTTCAGCCTCTTCTCTTAGCACTGTGGGTCATGAGGGCAGCCTCTCATTCATGTCTCTCTTTGTTCTCTTTCAGTCTGCAGCTTCTTCAGATGGTGGTGAGTACAACTTACTTTTTCTATGTAAAAATCAAATCTAATGTAAATCCTAAGCTCTCCTTTTTATCTATCCTTTTTTTGTTTTGTTTTGTTTTTACTAACTCAGTAAAACTCTTGCGGCTTCACCAGCATTCTGTGTTGTATTCATTTGCAAAGTACAAAATGATAAAAAAATAAAAAAAAAAACAGCCTAATAAATGTCCCTCTCTGGGGATGGTGTGTTCACTGCAGGCAGTATGCCTCATTAACAAAGGATGTTTGTTGAGGGTGTTTGGGGTTCCTGTCGGGTTAGCGCCCATGCTGTCTGGTCGTCGCTTTTTATAGCGCTCTTGGCAGCACTCTCAAGTCTGCAGCAAAGAGTTCAGCGGAGCTCCTTTTGTTACTGCTGATGTGGCTCACACCCTCTTTAAAGTTGTAAGGAAGATCCCACAGCTTTGGTCATGTTGCATTAAAGCAATAGTTTGGGTTCTCTGAAGAGATTCTCTCTAAAGTTGCCAAGATTAGTTTCTTTACTTAATGTAGACAGATGGGATAGCTCAGAAAGAAGGTAGGAAAATGAAGAAATACTCAGAGAAGTGGAACGCCAACAGCTGCTTTGATGTGTTAATGTATTTTAGCTGCTCAAAACAAACATAAACTTGAAATATTGATATCTATGGGGCGACAGTCTGAGATTGTCACACCATAGTAACCTTGAGTAAAAATACCACAGTATCAGTTATTACACAAAGAAATTGCATAACACGATTAAAAAACAGCTTGTGAATCATCTCGTAGCTTTGCAGCTGTAGAGTTGCATTGATAAGGGAAATGTTCTGGACCCATTCAGTTTTCACATATTGGGACTGGAGATCTTTCCAGTCTGCAAAATTTGTCCTTTTAGTAAGTGTAAGGAACTCATAGTCACTTTCTTTCAGCCAGCTGGCTAGCAGTGCGCTGGGGCAGCTCTGTTTTACTCTACGCTCCACACAGTTAATCTCTACCAATCTCCTTGATGTAAGTAACCGATCCATGCCAATGTAGCCCAATGTTGTTCAGCTTTCTTCTGTTTCTGAAAGCTAATCAACGTCCCTGTTGCTGCACAAAATTACGCTGGTGGAAGCTGACCTGCCGATAACAGTTTTGGTCAGTTTTGATTTCTTTTAAGACAGAAGAACGCTATTGAACACTATTTTTCTCGTCTTTGTAACAGCAGCACCCTTAAATAATTTACATTACAAGCACATAAAAACGGCACACCTGGTTTTTGTACCTCATATAGGCAGTTCCAATAGGAAGTCTGAGTGAATATTCAAGAGAATGTGAATACTAGAGATCTGATTAAAAAAAAAACACTTTCCTTTTTAGTAGCTTCTGGCATACGTTTCCTTTTTATGAGTTTATTTTAGACACCTTAGTGACACTGAAACATGAATCAGTTTTGGTTTAAATGGCTAAAATCAATCAAAAACAATAGTTTACTAAGTGATTTTTACTGCTTCTGGGATTTATTCACCTAAGCTATAAACTCACAGCGTAATGACATCTTTCTACATGTATGGGGTTAATGCTGTAAAAAAAAAAAGAAAAAAAAACTTTGCTGAAACTACAATAAAAAAGTTTTCAGTCTGTTTAGTAAACTCGAGCAAATGGCTTGTCAGCTATACTTAAACAGCCGCTCTCAGTAACACAGTCTAACAGATGGTTTTATGGTGTTGAAATAAATAAACCCACACCAAGTTTCTGTATGTAGTTTTAAAAACACTCCTACTGAGTCAAAGGAACTCGCACTAACAGTGGGTTTAAAAGGTCACACTGAGGCCTTAGTCATACTCTCTGATGTCGGCTACTATTTATGGTGTTTTTTTTTTGTTTTTTTTTTTGTTTTGTTTTATTTTTTTTATTTCACAAGGTCATATATGAACTGCACCTGTTTGTAAATCCTTCCCATTCATGCTTGCATATTAGCAGCATGAAGACATGCATAGCTGCAACTTTAAAAAAACAAAACAAACAAGCAACAAACAAGTGTGTTTTTGAGACCAGGCATAAACCTAATTCCTGTTGTCCATGGCGACCAGTTAACTGCTCAGAATGAGAACGACTGTGCATCTGTAACCAGCTCCGCTGTGACCTTTTTGTTTTCACTGAGCACCCCTTGTTTGGTCTGCCCACAGCTCTCAAGTGGCCATCTGCCGTCATGATAGCAGGTACTGCTCAGGCTAAGGTGCTACTTTAGTCGCCCACCAGTTGCTAAATAGTTGCCCGCTCTTACTCCTTGTGTGCCTGTAATCAGCCACAACCCCCGCCCCACTCTCTGCTCCTTTTATGATGCTCTCTTTTTGTCTCTCCGTCCCTATAGCAACATCTGCTGTTTCTTTTACTTTATATTTTTTATTAGTCCACTCTAAAATTTCGGTTCTGCGCTACGAAATTGACCAGCAAGACAGCAACTGCAAACCTCAGTGTGCAATTTTGAAGAAATCCTTGCTTATAATGAAGCGGTGGTTTAAGTACTTGTATAGTTTTAGTCTGTTGTTGTACAGGAAACTTTATAAGCAATAGAAACAGTCAGAAAAAGGTTGGCCATTTAGCACCCTCCACAATTATTGCCACAACTCATAGAGCTGTGTAGAAAAGGCTTAAAATATGTGGTTGCTATGACGACTTGGTGACCCTAAGATGCTACTTTTTCCTGCGATCAGCTTTGGAAGTTTTTTATTATTATTATTATTATTATTATTATTATTATTATTATTTCCCTTACCATCTTTTTTATAGAATGTAATGGTCATCATTCAGCCTCATTTGTTCTAGTTGTTTAAAACGTTTTAATTATTAACATGTTTACTGTTTCCCAACGTATCCGTCTTACTTGAATGGCTTTTTTTTTTTTTTTTGTCTGTCTTTCCCATTTTTTAGCGTTATGGGCCTCTTTGTCAGGTCATGTTTATGGCGAACTCTATTTATACTCAAATGTCAGATTTTGTGAGTTCTGGTCGGAAATAACACCCTTTGAGAACTGTAATCATGGCGGGGGAAAGTGATAGAAGTATGTTGTTTTTTTTTCTTGTACTGCTGATAGTAGCACCCCAACAATTAGCAAACCACACTGCTCCTCACGCTCGCAATTAAATGTGTTTCGTACCTGTGTGGCACAATTCGCAGATCCAAGCTGTGACTCCAAACTAAACACAACATTGCACCCTAGAAAAAAGGGAAATCTTAGAAAATTACTATTCAATCTCCTACAAAAACCTACAACTTTCAGTTGCATTTATGTTAAAGTTGCTCGATATATCAAATTTCAACTGCCATCTAAATGTCTATGTGTACAATGTCATAGACAGGACTGCTTGGATAAAGTGTTCATATAGGTGCAATTTATGTAAATTCTGGTCTATGTTATTTCTGGGCATTTTGATAGGAAAAAGTCAGAAAATGGTGGATTACATGTTATAAGTATTATTATCCCAATAATCTGTAATAGTATTGCAAAGATATGTTCTCAATATCATGCAGACCTAATTTTGTTTATAGAAATAGCTGTGGCTGATTTAATCAAAAACTGTTTCCAGAACTAGTATTTCTTTACTTGCTGAAATAAATGTGCTCAAATTCAAGGCGGGATTTTCTTAAATATTCCATGGGATGTAAAAAAGATTTTACTTAAAGGCTTTTTAACACATCTTCATCGAGGATGCGAAGGTTTGTGCACGGAGCTGTATCCTTTGTCTAATCGTCATGGAAAAAATGACTATTCTTTTTTTTTTTTATTTCCTTGACTGTGTGCAATAACACTCAAGGGTTTTAAGTAAATAACAATTTTCAGTTTCCTCTTTCCTGTTACATTTTGCTTCTTGCAGACTACAGTGGAATCCAGCTGCAGGGATGCTGCAGTCATAGCAGCCTGACCAGCAATGGCAGTCTTCCAGGGGCCGGCGGCCATCGGGGGTCCGCGGATCACCGGGTGGCCGGCTGGTCCACCTGCTTCGAGCGGCTTCTCCAGGACCCCGTGGGTGTGCGTTACTTCTCGGTAAGTCGATGTAAAGTTTCTCTCTGACCCAAATGAAGACGTTTCCCCCCCCAAGTTTTCTGGGACAGTTTATGCTGTAAAACAGTGTGAGAAAACGTTTTTATTGGTTCAGTTGGTTCTTTCGTTCTTTGTAGAGAAATATTGTCCAGAATTGTGGCTGTAATGATTCAACCATTCTGGCTTGTGTGATTCCTTGGAGGAATTGGTTAGTTATGAACTTACACCTTGGGGCTTTGCATTTGCTAAATGTCACGTACTTCATGAAGTACATGACGTCTTTAGCCAAAGTCGGAGCCAACAGTGCACATATCTACATAGTCATGCATTGTGTGCTGGGATTTGCAAATGGTTTCAGTTCAGAATAGTTGATCAGAAGTCATCCTTTTAAGCAGAGCCACCTTTGTTGTACTGTACTCTGTCCTCCCATACTAAAGATGTTTCGTTGAACGTAGCGCATGACACCTTCAGAAAGCTCGGCGATAAGTGCTGGCTTCAGAGATCCACCTCCCTCCACACTGATCAGCTTCTCTCGCCCACACCATCCTGCGCCCACACTTACAATACACCAGTCTTCACCCAGTAATTTCTGCCCTCACTAATGGTTTCAACGGCAACAGCTCTGGGTGAGACAAGAAAACAATCGGCTGTTTCCGATTATATAAAACCTCTGGTTTGCCTCCACAGGAATTTCTCAAGAAAGAGTTCAGTGAGGAGAATATCTTGTTCTGGCAGGCCTGCGAATACTTCAGTCATGTCCCTGCAACAGACAAAAAGCAGGTAAGAGCAGCTACAGATGAAACCAGATGGTGCTTATTATAGGGGTGAAATTTGATGTGATCCCTCCACACTTATTGGCACCACTGACAAATATCTTTTATAGAAGTTACAGGGCAGGAGATTTATATTTTTTTGTACAGTTTTCACTTAATTACTACTCTGAATACGCCATTTAACAATTAATCAATTACCAAATCGGTTGACAATGATTTCAGACATCATAATGGATCCAATTAATTTTTTCTTCCCTTTTCCACTTTTTGAAGTTCATCAATGAGCTTCTAGTAGATACTCCCAAGATTTCCTGTTTCACTGGGCTGTAAATATGATCAGACACAAAGACTTTACACTTAGCCGCTATTCAAAATGGGAAAGCTAAAAAAACAATAAATAAATAAAAATAGCGCTATGGAAAAGAAATTGTATTTTCAGATCATTTTTACATTTCTGCATCTTCATTTCCCATTTGTTTGTCTGTCCTTCGTGTGTTTTGAGTGGATATTTTAAAAATCTTTATGTAGAGCCCAAATTTAGTAGATAAATACTAAGTTTTAAGACAAATGACTTGCTGTTTAAAAACTAAAAATCTGGACCTACAAAAGTGCAGGAAGATTGTACTACCGGTAAATCTCCTAAGTTCACTGTTGGAGAATTGCAGCAAAAAGTGTTTTCTTGGACATTGCCAGGTTTTGTCACCAATATTTAAATACGCTCGTGTGACGCAGCAGCTATAACCTCACCAACTCTGCCGCCTGCAGTTGTCCCAGAGAGCGGGGGAGATCTACAACAGCTTCCTGTCCAGCAAGGCCACCATGCCAGTGAACATCGACAGCCAGGCCCAGCTGGCGGACGATGTCCTCACCTCACCTCAGCCTGAAATGTTCAAGACCCAGCAGCTACAGGTACTAGAACCCCTGCGTGTTTAACGTCGGCCGTGTTGTTTGAAGGAGTCAGCTGTTGGTAGCGAGGGCATCTTCTGGAAAGCATTAATACAGGAGGGATTCCTTGTGTTTTCGGGGGTTTGCTCTCATCTAGCCTCAATTCGCTTTGTGGAAGCATATTGAGGTTTTTCTCTCTCTTTTTTTTCGGTGGCCATCTGGGTTTGTTTACAGAAAGGCTCAGAGGCTTTACCAGAGAGATAAACACAAACTGGCATACACCCACAGAGAATCCAACACACATTATGCAGACAGGGAGCCATAGACATGCAGTCAAAGATCTGTGTATTCCCAGCTAGTACATTAGCATGATTACGTGTGGACGCTTAAGACTGCTGTCATAACATCAGCTGGAACTGCATGTCGTTACTGGGACTGCCTCTCTTCTTTGTTCTTCTTGTCTTCACACTCTGGATATTATTAGACTCCAAATGTTCAGTTTCTCTCTGTTCTCCGTGTGTCCTTAGATCTTTAACCTGATGAAGTTCGACAGCTACTCGCGTTTCCTGAAGTCCTCCCTCTACCTGGAGTGTCTGCGCGCTGAGGAGGACGGTCAGCCGCTGCCGGATCCCTACCAGATCCCCTGCAGCCCCGCGCCCTCCAAACACAGCGCCAGCTCTGACCGCTCCACCCTCTCCACTCCCAAAAAGGTAGCAATTTTTTTTAATTCTTTTTAACTCGTTTTCGTTGCAAGTGCCATTTTTGACATCTTTTGCACATGTCCAGACTCAAGGGTAAAATGTGATTTTTGGTTTTTTTCCCCACACACACAGGACATCAGAAAGCAGAGGTCAGGGAAGTCATTAAATGAAGACACCAAGGACGAGAGCGCAGATAAGAAGCGCGGCATCTTCTTCTCCTGGTCTCGCAACAGGAGCTTTGGGAAGGGACCAAAGAAGAAAGACATCGGAGACATTAATCTGGGTGGGAATTAGTGACCGTTGTGCTCTGATTGCTGAAACCCTTAGCATTCTTAATTCTTGAGCTACGGCTAAATGTTCATTTAACCCTTGCTGCAGACTCAGCAAAAGTATTCATACCACTTGACCTTAAAACTACAATTACAGCTTTAACCGTTTTTATTGGTGCTTGATCTGATTTACCAACAAAAAGTCCTTTTACCTGAGTTTTGCAACAAAGCAACCGTAACATAATGGTGCCAACCCTGTGCTTAAAATTTGGGAAGGCTTGCAATGTTCACACCTTTTTAAAACCTAAAGTTGCTGTAAACCAACATAATCCTTTGAACTGATATTGACATCGATATTTCTCTTCCTTTACATTTTTTTCTGTTTTCTTTTAATTTTTTCGAGATGCCACAAAAGGGAAAATTCCCTAAAATGCATCAATACTGCATCGGAAGCTTATGAAGCTATGATCTCGTCAATTGAACTTTAAAAATTGTTTAAAGTTATCTTAGTACGTGCAAACCTCTGAAATTGAAAACAAAAACTTTTGAATGATCCTGCCATGTTTTTTAGAACCACTGTTCTAAACTTGAAGGCGTTTTCTCCGTCCTCTGTTGTCCTGCAGACTTCTGGGGCAGTAACGGCCGGAGAGAGTCCCAGGGTTCCCTGTCGTCAAGCGCCAGTCTGGAGATCCCCAATTCTGTCTCTGCTGCCAAAATGGAGGTAAGTTCCCTCTGGTCAGATCGCCATGGAAACACAGAGCCTGAAATACCACGATTTAATCGTAATAGGCGAGAATTTCATCTTTTTTTTCATTTTTTTTTTCAATTTGTTTAAGCCCACACACTGTTTTTTTTTTTGTTGTTGTTTTTTTTCTTGAGCAATATAAACAAAGGTGAGCGTTAAATCGCCTGGTTTCATGAATCCCGTGTCCTCAGTCTGACAATCGCCACTCAGTCGGCGCGTGGGAGCGCTCGTCCAGACACTGCAGCGTGCTGCTGCCCGACGGCTCCTGCTCCTCCATCACCCTGCGGCCCGGTGCGTCCATCAGAGAAGTCCTCCAAGATCTGTGTCGCAACATCTGCGTCAACATTGCTGCCGTGGATCTGTTCCTCGTGGGAGGAGAGAAGGTTAGGAAAGATTTTCTTTAACTTATTAAGATAGATAAGCCTTCTCTAATCTAATCTGGTTAGACAAATGTAAACAGAATCCAGTCCAACAGGATGTTTTGCATTTCCTTCCTCTAGCCTTTGGTTTTGGATCAGGACTGCATGACTCTCTGCTCGCGAGACCTAAGGCTGGAGAAGCGTACTTTGTTTCGGTATGAAACTTTCACTCAATTCCCGTCGTGTTTCTGCTTCAGCTGCCGTCCTCCGTGACTCTCGCCGTGTGTTTGCTTTCAGGTTGGACCTGGTGCCGATTAATCGCTCCGTGGGTCTTAAAGCCAAACCCACGAAACCAGTCACGGAGGTCCTCCGTCCCGTGGTGGCCAAATACGGCCTGAATCTCGGTGATCTCGTGGCCAAAATAGTGAGTTCTCCCCGGTGGCGACAATGCTTTAATGCTTTGAGACACAGCAGCCTGTGCAACAAGGGTGGAGTATCATGGTCGGGGGGGGGAAGGGAAAGGAGACGACCACATCCTTTTCCATCTCTACATGGTGGTTAGAGCTCTGACTCAGCCCAGCATGTGAAGATGGAGCAGCAGGGCTACAATTAAGAATGACGGCACCCCTCAAACATGCCGACTCTTTGGCCCACTCATTAACCCCTGTCAGGTTTATTTTAGTCCTGTGGGCTTCCAGGCATTATAGCTGAATTCATGCAGCAGACCAAAGCCGAAAGAGGGCTTATAAATAAATCACAGACGAACACCAGCCACATTGTGCGAGGTATTTACCGAGCAACAGGTGCAGAAGCTAACACGCTGTGTTTCGGTATTAGAGCGGAGAGACGGAGCCGCTGGATTTGGGGGCCCCCATATCGAGTCTGGATGGCCTGCGTGTTGTGCTGGAGCGGGCAGACCCATGTTCAGGGAAAGGTGAGTCACCCGACACGAGTTCCCCCTTAAAATACCTCCAAACAGTCCCGGCGCTTTTATATTGGTTTTCAAATCGTCCCATTTTGTGCACCCAGCAGTGCCTTGCAAAAGGTATTCACATCCGTTTTCAAATTTGGTTTTTTGGTTTTTTTTAAAAAAAAAAAAAAAAAAAGGAAGGAAAAATTTGCTTGTAGTATTTGTGCTGAAATCACTGAAAAAATGCTATGTAGATCCGCAGAGGAAAGAACCCCGCAGCATGATGCTGCCACTAGAATGCTTCAGTGGCATTGTCAGGGTTGGTTGTTAGTTTTCATTTTAGAGCATTACATTAAAGCACAACATTAAAAATGCAAATAAACAAATAATCCCTTTTCTAAATAAGAAAATAAACATTTTATTGTCTAAACTTGTAGCAAAAGATACAAATGCAGCTAAAAAAAAAAAAAAAAAACCTCATTACTTCTGACCCCCAGTGTCATGTAGGGCAGATGTTTTTTTAACCAATTAATAATTGGACAGCAAAAGGCTCTTAGGAGATTTTTTTTATTTTTTACAGAATTTGAACCTGGTGAAGTGAAAACTATGTCGTTTTACTATATAGACAGTTTTTTTTTTTTTCGTTTTTTTATCTTTAATGCACATGTTTTAGATTTTTTATAAAATTCTGGCTTAATTACTGCTCTGAGCATGTTGCTCTTTCAGCAAATGGCCCTTTTTGAGTTTATAGACTCCAGTTAACAATTAATTGATTACTAAATTAGTTGAGGATTTTTATGTTGCCAATCGCTGGCCGATTGGTTCAATCGCTGATTGGTCAGCCTGTTTATGTCTGGTTGTGTGATTGGTTCATTTGAAGCTTTTTTTCCTCTATAGTTCTTTTTTTATCTAAACACAAACTGTGTGTTGCTCTACCAACACAGTTATTTCTGAGCACTTCAAGTGCTGCTGGAGTCCTCATCACAGCAGATTTTTCATCCTCTTAATGCAAATGTAAAACATTCTGAAAACCATTTTCCTCCACCGAGACAAAACATTAAGAAGTCCGAGCGAGGCACTGAACGGTTTTACAGAAGGAGATCTGTCTCAAGTGTCCACTGCGTCTGCCTCTCTCCAACCTGATGAATTTTAATGTCTTCTCTCCATGTTTGTCGGATAGAAAAATCCAAGTCTTCCTCCCTAAAAGGCCACCCTCCGACCAGGAGCTTTTCTGCTGCAGTGAGTACTAGAGACACGTTTTTACCTTTGCACCGTTTTGAAACGGGTCCTGTGGCGGTGTCGTTTTGTCCTCTTTCTATTGCTGTGCTGCTTCTGCCACGTTACTTCAGGGTTTCCCAAATTTGTCTTCATTAACATTCACTTGATGCTGATCTGTCAGTGTTTCCTTTTCTTTTATTCTCCACTCTTAATCAGTCTGTTGCTGATGCACTCTTTCACGTTTTCCCCGCTTTAAAAAGCTGCGTCAACAAAAAAAAGACGTATAGATCAGTAAAGACACGAAGCCGACAGATGGATGAGGTCTGCTATTGAACGGGGGTCGAGTAAATCAGTAAATCAGGACTCTGCTCAGTAAAGTGCTTAGCAGCTCGTGCTTAGCTTCCCTCTTGCGACCACACCTTCCCCACCCAACCCAAAAGCCACCCCACCCCCTCCATCCCCTAACAGAGTGCATTGTTATTGTTGCATCTGCAGGGAGATGAGAGGTCAGCACCAAAGGACATTTCTGTGAGAGCGGCTGGACCGGCCTCAGCACTCCCAGGGGAAAAGAGAAAACAGAAAAAGATAAATATAGATGAAGCTGAAGGTAAATGCCCCCCCTTGTTCTTGATTTCTCTCTTTTATTTTTAACTTTTGGTGGACTTCTGTGCTTTGCTTTTGCCTCTGGACTAACTGACAAAGATGTGTGTCTGACGGGGAGGTGGCTACGTCGCTTTTACAGATCAACTAACGTCTCTCTGGTCCGTTTGGAAAAGCCAAAGTGACGGAAAATTTGTCGTCTTTCCAGAATTCTTTGAGCTGCTAAGCCGAGCCCAGAGCACCCGAGCCAACGACCAGCGCGGACTCCTGAAAAAAGAAGACCTGGTGCTTCCAGACTTCCTGCGCCTGACTCCGCCCACCTCCTCCTGCTCCGCCTCCTCCAACCTGGCCTGTTCCACCCCGGCCTCCCTGAAGCCGAGCCGAGAGAACGGCGTGCCGCCCCGCGGGTCCCTCACGGCCGCCCTGCGCTCGGAGAGCCTGGACTCCTCCCTCAGCTCCAGCGCCAACGGACACTCGGCGTCCAGGCGGTGCCTGCTGCCTCCCCCCCGCCACTCCACGTTCGGCACCCACCTCTCCCCCATCCCCCGGCCCCCTGACTCCCGGCCGAGCCTCCGCACGGTGGAGGAGGACGCCCACGCCGACCTGACCCTCGTGGGCGAGGGCGACATCAGCAGCCCCAACAGTACTCTCTTACCCCCTTCGCCTCCATCCTTCCCGTCCCTGGAGAGCAGCCTCCCTGAGGCCAACTTCACCCCTCCGACACCCTGCCCCCCGTCCCAAGACACAGGTGGAGAGGGAAAGTCCAGTTCAGGTATTTCTACAAACCAGTAATAAACCAGCGCTGTGTGTCTGTGTGTGTGTGAGTGTGTATGTGTGTGCAGTTGTGTTCAAATTAATAACAGTGTGTTTAGTTTAATGATTCGTGAACCCCGTATAATATATTACAATTTACAATAAATAATAATTAATGAATAAATCTGTTCTCCCTCTACGGAAAGTGGAGAAAAAGAGTATTTAAATAAAATGGAACTTCACAAAATCAAGCATCGACCGTAGAAATTTAAAATGATTGCGGACGCAGCTTGAACCACCAAACTAATTTTAGTTTTATATCCGCCGTTCAAATATGTTTCACGTAGAGTCGACCTTTCTTTTTGCAATTCCGGCCAAATTTTCAAGCCCAGGCTACAGTCTCATTTACTTTTACTGGTGAAGTCTCGGAAACGGCATGCTTAATGTCACCTCATAAGTTTTAAAGTTCTGGGTTTGGGCTGACTGCTAATAAATGTTAATGCTGTTGGTCTGAAACCAAGACCTATGCCAAACCTTCCTTGTTGTTTCAGCAAGAAACACCAAAGCCGCCAATTGTCACCGTATTTCCTCCTCAGCAACATGAACTCTCCAAGTGTTTTTTTTGACATATCCAAACTGATCTGTGGCTTGTGATGGGCACGGTCTGCTCTGGCTTGAATTCCACTCTTTGGGGTCAAGTTCCCCAAAACACGAAAGGAATATCTTGGTTTGATCAGCCAATAAAATGTTGCATCATTTCTCTTTAGGCTAGTTTAGGGTTTAGTTAAAAGTCTTTTTTTTTTTTCTCAATGTTGGGACTTTGCAGGAGCCTCATGTCTATATAGCATTGCTTCACATTGCAATCTGTAATTGTTTCAGCATTCACAAGCAACTTTACATCTTCTTTGATCACTCTGGATGTAGCAGTGGTTGTTATTTAATCAATTTAAATGGTAGCTTTTCCAGTTTTCACGTCGCTCTGCTTAAGCTAAGCAGCTCTGCAGCCGTACCGTGTCGCCACTTTTTAAATGTTTCCTCCTCTCCAGTCAACTTTATGACAGAATTTTTTTTCTTCTACTTGCAACATTTTCAGCCTTTGCCCTTAAATAAAAGCCTCTAATTTGACTCCCGTTTGTTCACTGAGTGACTGTCCTCGCTGATTGAACTCCACGCCGCTGTTGTACGAAAACACTCTTTAAATTAATGATTCAGTCGCACAGAATCGGCAGCATGCAAGTCACGACTGATTCATCTGGTGGGTTTCCTGTTACTCCGCTGCTCATAGCCTTGTTTTCTACATAGAAAACATTTATTTAACTAAGAACAGTGATTCATTTGGTTCTTGAAGTTGGACTGATATTACTTTGAATACAACTGTACTTGCATGTGTGTGTGTATAGTGTGGTCACAATAGTACCGCTGTTATGGCAAAACTCCTTCTATACCGACTGACGCACTTTAATGACAAATTGAAATTGATGTTGACTCCCTCAATTTGCCTGATCCGTTTAAACTCGACGTCTATTTGTGTGTGTGTGTGTGTGTGTGTGTGTGTGTGTGTGTGTGTGTGTGTGTGTGTGTGTGTGTGATCCTTATAACACTCTTGTAAATAGCGATGTGTGTATATGTTCTCCCGTGAGTGACGTTTACCTGAAAAAGTCCCGTGCTGCCAACTTTTGGGGTTGAACATGTGACTGGGATTTTCCCCCAGCTGGATATATTTCCACTTTGTTTTATAGTTTCGGGTGCATGCAAATGTGATTTGTTTTACAGGCCTTATGATTTATTCAAACAAGCAAAAAGAAATACATACAGGTTTTCTGATCAGTATTTGTTGCACAGTCAATGTTGTACTGAAGAGTAGAGCTGAGACCAGCTGAACAACTGAAAGTGGTGATATTAGCTGCGATAGTAATCCGGAGCCATGAAAACTGCAGATCCTGAACAGCCGTTGCAAACAAATGCTGTGTTCCTCTCCATCCCACCACTTCTAGTTAAGAGCAACTCAACAATGTCACCATCAGAGTTTTTTTGTTTTGTTTTTTTTTTTGTTTTTTTCTTTTTCTAAAATTTCTTTTCCTTCACAACTCCTCTAAAAGCAGTGAGTCACCAAACTTTTGTCGGCTCATGTTGCGGCAGTCTGAGCAGTAGGAAAACAGTCATCGGTCAGTGACATTGTTGAAGTGCCCGTCATTCCTTATCTGGCTCGCTCGCTTTCCTTCTCTAGGTGCCTGTTGTAGATAATCACTGCCAATAAACTCTGTACCTGTGACTGAATAGATCTAATAAATGTCAGAATTGGAAATCACTCTCGTCCTGTCTTTTTACACGTTCGTGAGATCAGTTTTCTCTCCCGGCAGCCCCCGCTGCCGCCTCCTCTCCCCGCCTCCGCATGCCTTTTCCAGTTTTCCCCTTTAGCTCTGTCTCATTTTCATCTTGTGCCGTTCTCCTCATTAGCTCCCACTCCTTTGTGTACTTTCCCCTGCGCGCACCCGTTGAGCGCCGGCGTCGCTCGAGCGGCGTGACTTCTGCTCGGATCGTTCGCTGTGGCCTGTTTGTTCAGTCTTGTTTGCTTGATCTGCTTTCTCGTTGTGTGGTAATATTTATTTTTCGTCGGGATCGCTGCTGTGTTGTGTGTGGCTTAACAGCGCTTTGCAAAAGTATTCATAATCCTCTTTTGCATTGTGTCATGTGTTTAAGAGTGATCTTATGTGATAGATCAACACAAAGGAAAGAAAATGATGTGTGGTTTTCATTTTTTTTTTTTTTCCCCTAAACAAAAATCTCAAATTGTGATCGGCATTTGAGCCCAACCCCCTTTATTTTGATACCCAACAACAGTTACCTATTTAGTAAAAAGAGTCTATCTGTTTATTTTATGCTCTGAGAGGTTTTTTTCAGAGAACACTGTCGAACAAGCGGCGTCGTAAAGACCAAGGAACACAGCAGGTCAGGGAGGAAGTGGTGGAGACGTTTAAAGCGGAGCTAGATTGTGAAACGAGATCCCACGCCTTGAGAAGAATTTGGCAAATCCTCCAAAACATGGCAACCCACCTAAGCTGACGAGGAAAGCATTAATCAGACAGTTCTGGTAACTCTGAATAAACCGCAGAGATCCACAGCCGAGGTGGGGACAGTCTGTTGATGGAGCAACTATTGCATGCGCAATCCACAAATCTGGCCTTTCTGGAAATGTGGCAAGAAGAAAGAAAAGCTGAAAGTCTCCGCAACCCATGGAGAGGAAGAAGGTGCTCTGCCCTGGTGGGATGACAATTCAGCTTGTTGGTTCCATGCAAAACATTATGTGCAACCGACAAACCATGCAGGAAAATAAAGTCTAAGAACAGGCTAGACTTGACCCATCATCCTCATGGTCATGGTGGTGGCAGCATCATGCTTTACTCCAGCAGAGACTGAAGTGAATCCGCTCAGAGTCGATGAATCCCTGGGAGAAAACCTGCGAGAGGCTGCAAAGAATTTGAGACGGAGGTTCAACATGGAGCCAGAGCTGCAATGAAATGGTTTAGATCGGGGGTTGCCAAGCTCTAGTCCTCAAAGGCTTGGCCTCTTGCAGCCTTTAGGTCCGTCCCTGAGTCAGCACACCTGAACCCAGAGGCCAAATGACCTCCTCAGCATGCAGCCGTCTCCTACAGGGCCCTACAAATGACATAATTATTAAATATAGGTATGTTGAAGCAGAGGTGTCTGCACGCAGCCGGACTCCGACCGTGGAGGAATGGAGTTTAGGTCAAAGCATATTTATGTGTTGGAATGGCCTAGTCAAAGTCCAGACATGAAATCTATTAAGAATCCCCAAAGCAACTATAAATGCACACCACACCTATAATATTTTACTTGTTAAACATTTTGAAAACCAAGTTATCTCCCTTTGTGTCGACCTGCCACATAAACCCTCCAGGCTATTTGGAAGTTTCCAGTTTTAAGGTGATGAAATATGAAAAAAACTCCAGGACTGTGAATACTTTTGGGCTCTATTGTATATTCTGGATCGGAGGAGTTTGTCCTTTTTGTCAACCTTCTGCTTCACTGCTTGCTTGGTTTATGTGTTGAGATCAAGAAGGGGAACGATTTTTCTTTTTTTTTGTTGTCGTCTTCTCCTTGTACTGCTTCATTTGTGCTTGTTTTTCGAGTTTTTACAGCGAAACGGTTGATTATATCGAAGGCTGCTTCCACAGTAGATGTGTACAGACACCCAGTTGGGATCAACGTCTCTTCATGAGATCTAAACAAAAAATAAAATAAAAAATGATGACGAGGAAGGATGGCACAGTCTCCTCTCTGGTCGCTGAGCGCATCAGACCGATTCTTCCCACCACCGGGAGCCATGGTAACCTTATCCTCGGATTGACTGCGCTGCAGATAGATACTGTCACTACTGCTTCTCATCCATCTCCTCTCTCTCCCTCTCTCTCTTTTCTTTTCTTTTTTTTTTTCCTTTCCCACCAGCCAAAATAGAAACACGGCTATGATTCAGTAAAGCCACCTCGCTGCTGGAAAACGCGGAATAGCAACAAGTTTAGCACGCCTCTGCTTTTTCCCACTTTTTGCAGACTTTATGGAAATGTTGCATTTGTATTCAGGTGGCAAGTCGTGCCGGTCGGGCTTCACGGTATGTTTTAAAAATAAAAGACTTGTTCCGAATGCATCCAGAGAGAGGGGGGACAGGGACATTTTCCAATGCATCAGTTCCTGCTTAATTTGTGCATTACTGACGCCCTCTGCTGTTCTCACGGAAGTGCCCGTCACTTCCACACGTGTGATGAAACGCTGACGGAAGTACGGCGGAGATGGATAGAAGTATTCGTCGGCGCCATGCCGCAAGCGTGTGTAATTATTAAAAAGCTCCGAAGTGGGCAGCAGCTTCTGCTGCAGTAAAACAAAAAGCAGTGGGGCCTAAAGTGCAAAGGCATCCTAAGTGTTTCCAGCCTGGCATGCGGTTTGATTGCATTAACTTGGCCTGCAAGGTGCAAATTATCCCTCATTGAATAGTTAAAATTAAACTCTGAGGGGGATCTGGTCTCAATCCAGGGAGCGGGAGCCGCTCTGTTGGTCGTATGGAGGACGTCCACAAGGGGGCGACATTACATAGTCTAAAGTCCTTCATAGAGCGCAGATCTACTCAGATTTCTGTATTTTTGTATCTTAGGCCACTAAGCAGTCGTTTATCATCGGCGCAGATTAACCATTCATCCTTTTGCTTACTTTTACAGCTGCGTTTAAGCCACATAACACGTACACACCGACTGCTGTAAAGTTATTAATTCAGCAGAACATGTAGAAATAACAAGGTTATTCCCATTTACGCGTCAAAGCGTAGGGTGCTAACCCTTGAATGGTTTATTAAACTTGAAAAGTGAATCATGTTTGTTGAGTTATAAACAAAACTTTAATAATAATAATAACCTGTTAGAAGTAGATGTTTTTTTTGTTTACTTTACTTTAAAAATCTATTAAATTATATTATTCTCTCAAAAACTTTTATTTTTGTTATTTATTACAAAAATTTCACTATGAGCTATATTCCAATCAATAAAAAAGGAAACCAAAGTTGCAATTTAAAGTAGCCTTTATTGAGCAAACTTCAGCTTACAAGAAATAACCTTAAAAAGCCTGAACTTCAAATGAATAATACTCTGATTGCCTTACGCCCTTAAGAGCCTGGGATTTATAAATGAGTATTTATTAGTCCTTAAGGTTCATCAGTAAAATTAAATGCAGTTGAAACTAGGTGAAGCAAAAGTTATTTGGTCTGTACATTAACACATCCTACCTTGGTTTGGAAAAAAACATTTGTCCACCTATCCCCCTTTTCTGTCTTTTTTTTAAATTTAAAATCAAACCTATTTTGACATCAGACAGCAACAATCTGAGTTAATTAAAATGAATCATCTATAAAGTGAAAATTATACTTCATAGAAAAAAAACCAACTATCCAAACTAACATTGGTTTGTGTGAAAAGCAGCAAAGTAAACAAAAAAAGAAAAAAAAGCTGTTACTAAATTACTAAGAGTATGTATGTTGCTGATAATTGCAGGTGGTAGTAGCGGCTGGCCTCAGCTTCCCTGGTCGGAACCAAGTCACAGGAAAATTTGGCACATTTCTGTTATTGAGTCATAACTTGGTGCATCACTTAGACTTGAGGCTTCCTTCTGACCTCTTTCCAAAGCCCAGGCCTTGTTTGATTCAGCGGTGTGCTTCGAGGCGTAGCGTCACTCCAGTTTTCCTCAGGCCCTTTCATGGTCCTCCTCCCGTCGTCCCCGGTGACAGAGCTCAGAGCCGACAGGCGGCTGACCCCGGGCCAGCCTCATTATCCATCTGACAGTCGGAGGCAGCGGGCCTCGGTGCAGACTGTTCCTGGGTCTGTTCCAGCCCCGCTGCTGCCATGAGGGCAGGAGGCACCGGCTGTGTTGAAGGCCCCTGTTGTTTTAACATGTCCCGCTGCACAGTTTGACGGCCGAAGCATCGAAAACTTAAATTTGAACCATGCCAGATGATGACGCGTTGCTGCGCAGAGCAAAACGACACAGAGGGAGGCGTCACTATGCGGACAGAAGTAAGATAAACAAGAATCCTCCATGTTGTCTCAACTCTCTTAACTCGGAAAAAACACTGCAACTGCAGGAGGGCTTCGCCGCAGGATGCCATCCGTGTGGCCAAAAGAGACAGGAAGTAACACCAAAAGCATAGTTTTATATCTATTGGTTTTGCTGATTGTTCTCCAGTCCAGAATAATCGATTATTTCGAAAGTTTATTCAAATATTTACAGCCTGGTGGCAAAATTACATTTGCTGATCATTGACATGAATGGTATAATTACCCAAATCCGTACATACACCCCCACTAATACTTGGATAAATATTCTCTGTCAAGCTGTCATATAATTTTTTTTATTTTTATTTTTAGAATTTGAACGTAGAATACTCTGGAGTTTAGACGCCCCGGAACATAAAATATTATCTGTATAAACCATTTCCTAAAACTGTTTATCGCTTAGCTGAAATGATTTTGAAACCTTATTATTCCACTAATATATTTTACAAGAAAACCATCAGAACTTAGGTCAGATTATATCCTCAGCTACTTTTTTTTTTTTCCCCAAACTGCAACGGATGTGAGAACCGCCATCTGTTTTTGTTTGCCTTCCATTTCGCCATCAATAATTTATAGCTTAGGACGCACTCACACGTGTCACCCAGCCGCCGATGCATCGCTCCCTGTGGAAGAACCCGCCGACGTGAAGGTTAAGACGGCAAAAGCCGTTAAAAAGGAAAGCGAGAACTTTTACTTGTCCCCGAAAATGCAGCTCGGCCGCAACCCCTTCGTCTTCTTTCACAACTCCTTGAATTCTCCTGGAAGTTCAGGAAAGGCCACTCATCCGCTTCGCCTCATGTCGGCGTTTTTTTGTTTTTTTTGTTTTTGTTTTTCCAGAAAGGGGAAGCGGAGGTCGGCTCGCAGGGTTTGTTTACAGCCAAGCAGAACATGAATGAATAACAGCCTGCAGCTCTGTGGCGAAGTGCTCGGTCCGAGCCCCGTGTTTAGAGTCTGTGGGGCCGCGCAAAACGTCAGGCTCCACCTGTAGGATGTAGGAGGATGTTTTCTTTGTCGTTATCTTTCATTTTCATGAGGTCAGTCGGGTGAAATAGACGTAAAAACGCTGATTACAAACGTGCCATATGACATCAAAGCGGTGAGTCATCGCTGCGTCCGTCTTCGTTCAGTTCGCTCCCGGCTTGAGCAAGTCGGAGCAGAGGTACGTGTGCCGTCGCGGCCGCGTCGTGAAAGCGGCCGATGGCGCAACGAGATAACAAAGAAACATAAAAGTATCAAAGCGCAACGAGATAACAAAGAAACATAAAAGTATCAAAGTGAAGTGATGATTAAAGCTAAGAAGACTGGGAGAAGGAGAAGAAGAAGAAGAAAAAAAAAAGACAGAAACTATGAGATTCCTCTTAACCGATCTGAAGTTACGAAACATGACTCAGAGGGAATGAGCTCAAAGTGTGACTGGGCCTTTTAAAAACATTTTCTAAATTTACCTTTGCTCTACATTTCGGAGCTTAATAAAACAAAACTCTTTTACATTTGTTCACATGATGACTATAAATGCTGTTGTATTTTATGTGATATACCTGCAGGAAGAAGCTCACGGTTGTGACGTGGACGGAGATCGACTCACGGTGTTCGCAAGTTTTAACAAATGAAAATCTGTAAAGGGCAGTCACAGGGTGTTGTGAGGCTTTTTTTTTTTTTTTTTTTTACCAGTTTTGGACAGACGGATACTCGTTTGGCAGCTCTTTTTGAAAACGAGCTCAGTAGACTGACAGAATCTTCCCGAACACCAGTTTTCATGATCATGCCAGAGATTCTCAACTGTTTTCAATCCGGACTTTAACTGGATCATTCTAACAGATGAACATGAGCTAAACCATTACACCGTAGCCTTGAAGATGAACTTCAGCAATAGTCTGAAGCTTTGTGTAGCCTGTAACTGTTTTTTTTTTTTTTTTTAAATCCTCCATTTTCCTATTGGCACTAGGTTCTCTGTCACGGCTGAAGGAAAGCATGATGAGGTTAGATTAGATTACACACATCTGGATTTCATTCACTGGATTGTACTGGATTTCAAATTCACTCTACGTGTAGATTTTTATACAGTTTTGTCTTCGCTGCTGCTTTAAATCTTTATTTTTCTTATGTTGTTAGATGTGCGTGACTCGGTGACAATAGGCTGTTTGAACAAACTGTGCTATTAGTACAACTGCTTGGATTCATTTGGAAAAACAGTCAGTGGGAAGGCTAGCTGCTGTTAGCATTTAGTACTTTCAAGTAGGATAGCGTCATTTTTACTAAAAGAGTCTGTGTGTAAGAATGAGTTCAACATCAGCAAAACTGCAGTTACTCTGAAGTTTAGATGCAAAGCAGCCATATTAGATTATACCAGACAAATCTTGCCCATTCATTTTCTCAACCCAGGAACTGGACATTTCAGTCACGCTGACTCCTTTAGGTAAAGATGTAGCTATGAACAGGAGTCCAATTCTTTTGTTTTATAACATATTGCGACAAACTAAGTGCCACCCGCTATGAGGAAAACTGTAAACGCGGCAGTGGTAGAAGAATCGACACTGTAGACCAGCATCCCCTTTGAGCAGTGTTCACTCAAAATACTTTGCTTTCAACTGTTTTGGAAGTTTTTATTCTCTCTTGATCCTCAAAGACTCGGATATTTTGCCCTAAAAAAAAAAACAAAAAAAACTCATCCTCATTACATTTCTCTCCTGTGCACAGAGAGAAGGAAAGAAACACCCCACGGCACCAAATCACCCGCTGACAGAGCCGATGCTGCGCAGGAGGTGATGGATGTGGAGGGGGTCCACCTAGAAGAAGCCCGAAACGTGGAGGCGTCCCAGGGCGACGACTCGGAGCTCAGCCTGAGCTTCCAGGGCTACGTCGCCGAGCTGCGGCAGTGCCAGAGCAAAATGAGGAGCGCCCAGATGCCTCAGGACGTCCGAAACCCGACGGAGGGCAAAGACTGCCAGTCAGACCTGTACAAGGCCACGATTGTCTGAAGGGAACAACCTCACACACACACACACACACACTACTGCACTTTTTAAGCCTGAGGCACTGATGTCTGATGTGTTAAACTATGAGCTGCATGTGAAGATGTCGTTCTCTTTCTTTGACACGAATCTCATGACGACGGATGTAGTTGTGGTAAGAACTTTACAAACGCTCACCAGCGGCGTGGACTGCAACAATTTGGGAGTTTCTGATCATTTATTCGAATGAACTTTAAAGCGATTTCATTCGCGCTTGAGACGACGCGTCACAAGCTCGAAACTGTATGTAGCCCACTAAAAATCAAAATTACACAAAACAGCCGGAATATGTAAGAGTAGTAGTGAAGCATAAAGCCTGAATTATCCATGGTAATAATGGATTTGTTCATTATTAACATGCGGTTTATTTGTGGAAAAGAGAAAATCCACAACTTTAAATTCGTTGGAGTGATTGTCTCACGATTATCGTACCTCGGCGAGCCGAACGCTTCAAACTGATCCTAAAAAACAACATCATCCTGGCATTCACGCCCCATCTTGAGTGCAAACCTCTCACTGGAACTGTGTATTTCTTTAAGATTGCAACTATTGTTGTTAAGTTTTAGTATTGTAATTTTTAGAGAGTGACACATTAATCTTTTTTTTTTTTTTTGTATAGTTAAATATTTACGTGAAATGTAACTATATTTTTAGCCATGTTGGAGTTTAAAAGAAAAAAACAGAAAAAAACAATACATTCCTGAAACTTACCTTTTGAGTAGTATTTTCTATTACAGTACGAATGTTTGTTGGGTGTATATGGTTGACTCTTGAACTATATTTTTTGTTTCTGTCTAATGGAGCTGATCTTGTTTCGATGTTTCAGTTTGACTTTCAGATGGATTAATTTAAAGCCGCTGGCATCTGGAGAACAACGGCAGAGCAGGCAGAGCTCTGTTTTCCCGATCAAACAGCGGGCGAAGCACAATTTACGAGTAATTTCTTGTTAAATGGTCTTCCTTTGTTACAGTAATACCTTACACAGTACCTCTATTGTCTGTATTTTCTGCTTCTGTGGTTTTGAGATTGTCTAAATCGTCGAATGATTAAAAAGCCTTCATGGTGACAGTTTCAGCAAACTGACATTCTTGCCTTTTGTGGGAAAAGTCCAGTTCGGCTTTGACCCAAAGTGTTACTGTTACACACTTAAAGTCTCCTATTTGACTCTTTTTTTTTTGTTGTTTTTTTGGTATGTTTAATGTAGCTATTTGCTAAATCAAGCAGTGCTGTAAATTATTAATGGTGCCGTTTCCTTTGATGAGCCGGCTTTCTCCCACTGGAGGGATCGAGGGATAAACCGTCCAGCCTCCTCTTTGTGCTTCCAGCTCAGCATCTGGAGAGCGATTATTACAGCTGGTGAAAATTACAGGTTTGATTGTGGGACCGGGTAGTTTGTCTTGATGCAACATGTCAGAGCTGGAATCCCGACAACACGCGAAGCTTAAAAGATCAGACTGGCTCTTTGCTTTCATGCCACTTTATCTCAAAGGGTTAGTTATTAATGAGGTCCTTATTGGAGCGGTAACTCCTTCCAGATGTTAAATACAGCCTTAAATCGGACTTTCTCTTTCCTGAAAGAAGAGCATGACAGAACATGTTGACCCAGCTGAGGAGATTTGCCTGCAAATAATTGCTTTCACCGTGACTCAAACTTTTCTTCTCCCCCCCACCTTCAATTGCTGCAGAGCCGTGGCATGATACACGTTTTGGTGTTTTATTTTGAAGCAAGACGCACGTAAGGTATCTTTTAAAAATATATATATATTATCAGCTGCAAATCTCTGTTCTCACCGACATAGCAAATGTTTGGTGTCTCTTGCGTAGAGTGCCAGTGGTTGGGGTAGAATGACAGGACAGGAAATGATGTACATGTGGCAGTCGCTAATTTTTAAACTCTTAACTTCCTTTACCTCTTGGTCCAACGCACTATTGTTACTGTGATGCAACTGGTTGCAGATGTGTCCCTTGGATGGATTGGGATGGGTTTCTAGAGACGGAAGAAGAGATGAAGATATAAAGCACATCCACGTGAAGAGATGCAACTGTTTTATTCCATTGACTTAAACATTATAAAACTTATAAAGTGACGTTTATTTTAGCGCCATTTGTCCTGTAAGAAATAAGTCTCAACAGTGCTACTTACGCTTCCTCCTGTAACATTTTCCTTAGATCCCCTCTTATCCAGAGTAAATCACCACTATAAATAGCCTCGAATCACCCGACTTGAACGCCGAAGCGTTCAAAAAGTGCTCGGAAATGAGAAAAGTGTGTACATTAAAAAAAAAAAAACACACGGTTGGTATGGAGACGCCGTCGGGGTGTGATCGCATGTAGAAACGCTCAGGTGTTTCCAGCCACGTCCTTTCACTGCGTCAAGATGCGACATGCACCGCAGCGCCGTAATGTTTTCTGTCAACAACACACGCTACTCATCTCTTTCAGTTTCCTGACATGTGTTTTTATCCAGCGGTGCTCAACTGTTTTACGTTTCAAACACACAGTGTTGCTGCGTCGCATTTATGCATGAAGTGGCCACCGTTTCTGCATCTAACCAACACCACTTTCAACTTATTCAGCGGAGTTGCAGGTGCGAAGCGTGACACTGAATTTAGATGTAAAAAAATAAACACGCTCCCACCACCACAGAGTGCTCCAAGTGCATTCAAAGTATTTTTCCAACTCAGAAGTCTGAATTTCGGAGTTCTGACAACAAATGACACTTGCGCTTAGAGATATATGATATTTAAACAAAGAATAAAATATTTAGAGGAGAATAAATGCTGCTTTTGTTCATGCTGCCTCGTTTTTTGAACAAGATGTTGACCTGTAAAATAAATATATAATATGCATTTAAGTCACATAGCTTAAGGGAAACCAAACACTAATGAGGTGTATTTAAACTTTTTAAAAACTGTAATAAAAAAAATGCCTTTAAAATTCTCTTGCTCTGGCATTTTGCAAATATAACTTTTTTTTTTTTTTTTTGGGAAACCCAAATTGACCTGAAATAGGAGAAGTTTATTCTGATTTCACGTCAGACAATGTGAAAAAAACTACAAATAATTAAATCATGGGTGTTTTTATACAGTGTAATAAGTTAACTTCTGCTTTCACTTGTAACTGTAAAGCAATTACGCAATTTCCTCGGGTACAGTAGCAAATTACATTAGTTTTATTTTGTAAATAAATAATTCACCCACGGCAACCAGTCCCTCCTCCCCCCTTGTATAATCAATAATTAAAAAAAAAAATATATTTTTTTTTTTTTTAGGGGGGCGTGTGTGTGTGTGTGTGTGTGTGTGTACGGCAGTGCTCCCGCCGCCCGCGTCCTCACCTCCTGCTCTCCGCCTCTGGGTGGAAAGTTTTGCCCTCTCTTCCCAGCCGATTAGCTTCAGTGATGAGCCGTGGGCGGCTGCAGAGAAGAAACAGAGGGAACACCAACCTGGATACGGGATGCGTTTGACTTAGATCAGGCTAATGACGCAACGGGTTTACTCATCGCAGCCTAAAACGGTGAGGAACAGGACGCTACTTGCAGGGATTCCCGGGTCTGCTGTGACCGAGAGCTGGCTGAAGCTGACAGATATAACGTGACAGCTTCACGGACTTCAGGAAATTAGCCTCTCTAGAGCGCCAGATGTGAACTTTCAGCATGGGACACGTCAGGCTGGCTTTTCTCTTACTCGCTTTCACTGGAAGAGCGGTAAGTTTTCTCCTGGGTTTTGTTTTGTTGTTTGTTTGTTTTGTTTTTGCGTGCGGATATAACAAAAAAAAAAAAAAAAAAAAAAAAAAAAGAAAAAAAAAATCAAATAGCAAAAAATTCATTTTTCATTCCACTGATTTTCAGCGCATGTTGGTGTTTGGATCTGAAATTGTTTTCCCCACTGCGCCGACCAAGAAAGGTAGGCTTTCTGTTTCAGTTGTGGTGATCAGAGTCAGAGCAAATGTTTGGAAATTAAGTATAAGTTCTCTGGAAAGGAAGTGATATTAAGTTTTGGGAAGAGAAGTACAAATATAGTGTTTATCCAGAGGTGGGCAGAGAAGCCAGATACTACTCAAGTAAAAAAAAATAAAACGTAAGAGAGAATAAAAACTAAAATATTATATTTGGAGTTTACTTAACGGAGTAACTGTTTGATCTCAATATCTAATTATACAGAGAAAGATATAGAATATTCCCCAAATTCTGGTATTTAAAAAAGTTTTTTTTTTTTTTTAAGTGTACATCAATACCATGTTTCCAAGGTGACAAGTAGAAACCCAATTTTCTTTCAGGTTTCCTACTTTTACCTTTACTTTTTAAACTTTTTAAAACGGTTGTAGGCAGAGTTTGGGAGAGTATCCCAAAAAAAAAAAAAAAAAAGTGGATTTACTTCTGTATATTTTTGCTCAAGTAAAAGTAAAAAGTATCCGTCTAAAAGTATTTTGTAAAAAGTCTACTTGACTAACTGATCATGACACCTGTTTTAATTTGTAAACATGATGTCATAAGACATATAATAAAATGAAGCTATGTGTACAAAAAATTAATAAATACATGGTTGCAAAATAACAAATTCACTTATGAGATGTCCTGACCAGGAAAACAACTTCTCACCAGCTTTAGTAGAATAGCACATTTCTCTGTTCTTGAGCAGGATGTACAGGCTGTTAGTCTTTTTGGCAGCGCTGAGTGATGACACACTGAACCTTTTTGCATATCTGCAATCATTTGAGTTAAGTGTGCATGAAGGACTGCGAGTCCTGAGGAGATCCTCTGATCCAGTATGTTCCTGGCTGCATGTTTAGGGTAATTTTCCAGCTGGAAGGTGAAACCCTGCCCCAGTCTTAAACATTTCCCACCTGAGCCTCTGATCTCTGCAGCTCCTCCTACTTAAACGCATTTGAATATGTTTTTTTTTTGCCAGGCGTCAGTGTTTCCTCCGTGTGAACACACTGAAAGCCGCTTTTTTTTTTTCCCTTCGGTTTTGGTTCTCCTCCCAGTTCTTACCACATCTGGCCAAGAATGCAAGTTCCCTTTTCGTCAGGGCGGATGGCTCCATCACCGCTGCATCACCAGCTCCAGCTCCAAACCATGGTGAGTCCCTGCTACACCTGCAGTGGTTGACCTGCAACAAGCTTAAACCTCCCTTCTCTCAGACTCTTTTCTCTCGTCAGCCGTTTAGCGGGCTAGCATGACGAATTGCTGAATGATCGCTGATGCAGTTTGTAACTCGAGCAGCGCAGTCACACCTATTTACAGCTGGCTGTGCTTGGGGATTCATGCAGCAGTGTCATCATAGCAGAGGATGAAGTAATCTGCCCCCCCCCCCAAAAAAAGGGAGACTTGCATAATTCCCCAGTTGCTGAATTGTTGGCGGGACTCATCATGTCATCATGTCTTCATTACTCTTGAATTATCTCCGTCGGATGTGTTAAAAGGTAGCTCAAGATAAACACAGACACTTCCTCTAAAACTGTGATAGCAGCTGAGGTTTAAACCACATTTAGTATTTCTGGCAGTTCATCCTCGGGGTGTATAAACAGCTGCCACGATAAAACCGTAATGAAGCTTCTTTCTTTCTTTTTTTTTTTTTTATGACTTCAAGTTGGAACGTCTTCCTTTTTTTTATTATTATTATTTTGGAAGAAACAACCCAAGACAGGCTGAATATCTTTCCAGTTGCCGTCACCTGGAGTCGAGACAGGAAGGGTGGATGCCAACAAGTTCGAGCAACCTATACGCAATTATATATGGCCCAACAACGCTTGTCCTCCTACACCTAAAGTTTTTGCAATAGGAGCCCACATGTCTCCGTGATGAGCTCACGGGCCCAGCGGTGTTGCAGCAGGTTTGCAGCTCTGCACTGTAAATTCACTGAGAGGTAACAGGATGAGTGGGTGGTTGAAGAATGCAAAAGGCTTTTAAAGCGAGACCCAGATTTCATTTATCGAACGAATGAAGCCAAACCAAGCTGCGCCTGTACTGAAAACATTCCTGAGCCTAATAACCGGTTGTGTCACTCAGTGTTTGGGCCACTTTCCTTCAAGCCACTTTGGAGAGTTCTTGAGCAGGTTGTTTAAGGTCTCAACTAGATTTAGCTCTGGACTTTGACTAGTCCACTTCAGAATCTTCTTTTTATTTTATTTTATTTTATTTTATTTAGCCATCCAGATAGAAAACGCAGGGTTCCATTAATTACAGCATTTCGTCCAGATCTGGATCACCACACTGATCATCACACTACCATCACCAACGTGTTTGGCTGTAAGGAAAATGTTGCTGGTTTCACGGCTGACGTAATGGGACGCAGACCTTCAAAAAAGCACGACTTTTTTGTCTCATCTGTCCACAAAATATTTCCCCAAAAGTTTTGTTGATCATCCAGATATTTCTTGGCTCCATTTGGTGGCTTTCATGTTGAAAATCCTCCATAGGATCTATTTTCTGCTCAGTCTCTGTACATTGGCCTTAACAGAGGTGAGTAAGTCTTCATCGGCGCAGACAGAGTGTCTGCACAGCATCGCATGAGACTGAATAACATTATTACCAGCTCATTGCTGTTGGATTTGAGTATCCAGCAGTATATTTACTACACTCAACAGAAATAGCTGCAGGACAATATTGTAGAGAAAACAAGTGCTTCACAACAATATTCACAAATCAATCAAAACTCGTGAATTCATCAGCATCTGTGCATTTTACTCGTCTATGCTTAAAGGAAGCGTCGTCCCGTTTCTTCTGTCGTAGGTGCTCCCTCACACACAACTTTGACCGGGACAGACAGTGGGGCTTCTGTGCTCAGTCTGTTGGTGAGTGTCCTTTTTGTAATCGGACTGGGGGTTTCACTCACTTCCTCCGTTAAAATGTTATTTTCCTTCCTTTTCCAGGTGCGTCTCGCAGAGAAATCGATCCCTGCCGCTGGAGGAATCCCTGTCAGAACAAAGGCGTCTGCACAGCGATCCCACAAACGGGATCTTTTCACTGCTCGTGTCCCGAGAACTTCACCGGGAGACACTGCGAGCAAAGTTAGTCAGCGCTCATGTTTTCTGCTATGGTTGGCTTAATGTTCAGCAACGAAAATGATTCATTTCTCACAGACTTCTAAGCATTTTGTTATCTTTAAACCACAAACTGCAGAGTATTTCACTGGGATTTTCTGGGACAGGCCGACACAAAGCAATGGAAACGGTGACGTGACAGGAGAAATGACACAATAGTGTCGACATTTAATAAAAAAAAACATTATCAGTGTTCATTTGTAGACAGCTCACATAAATCAAAGCATTGTGGAACCGGTCTTTGCAGCCACATTGTGTTTTCTACACAGAGCAGAAAGATTAATTTTGGTCTTATTTAACCTGAGCAACTCGGTGACAAGATGCAAACATGACTACTGGCTTTCTGTCAGCGTTGGCTTTCTTCTTGCCACTCTTCCATAAAGGCCAGAATTGTAAATTGTAAAAGTACTGCTTATTTATTGGTTTAGATATTTTTTAGTTATGAAGACATAGAAAAACGTGTTGCTTTTTTTTCATTTCACGGTTTTGCACTACTTTGTGTTGGTACCACATTAAAATATCCCCAAAATTACAGCAAAGTTTCTGGTTGCAATGTGAAAAACTGTCAAAAAAAAAAAAAAAGTCCTAGGAGAATGAAGAATGAAGGCTCTTGTGAAAGACTATTACATAAAAGGAAATTTTATTTGAATGTTCCTTTTTTCCCCATTTATTTCATAAGCTTTGCAAAAACAAAAAAATCATTGCATTCATTCTGGTTTTTATCATACTTTTGATCGCAAGCCAACAATTTGAGAGAAATTCCAGTGTTTACTTAGTTCTGACTCACTTGTTACTAACGTTTCCTCATTTCTAACACATGCAGTCAATGCAACAACAGCAAAAAAAAAAAAAAAAAAAAAAGCTCAGCCACTTAGCATGCATTTCGCACACCTCATCCATCCTCGCTACGCTCCATTGAGCCCTTTAATCTCCTCTCACGTTTCCACCCGCTGCCTTTTCAGAGAAGTGCTATGAAGCCTCACACCTGCGGCACTACAACATCGGAGAGTCTTGGGGACGAATTCACCTCCGTAACGTGGAACGGTGCACATGTGAGGCGGGGGAAGTCAGCTGTCAAAGCGTCCACTACACAAGTAAGATACGCTTTCTGCCTTTGCTGCCGTGCCTCGAGTGCGTCCTGTTTGTTGGCTGGTTGAGAAGCGAAACCCCAGGATGGGAGGTTGCGCTGACCTCAGCGGTGTTTTCTCCCTCTGACCTGTGACTTCTTTGATTGTGTCTACATCGAAGCATACGGAGACAAGCGTGAGGGAAGAACAGATTGAACAAACTGCTGCGTTGAATGAAAGGGATCACCTTCCCTCTTTTTCTGATGAGAATGTTTTTTCTTTTTCTTTTTTTAAACAACCTCCTCGGCAGTGGCAGCCCTTCCCTTTCTTTGATCGCAGCTCCATAGCTACAGGAGTAACCTTGCCTTTGAATAAAAGGCAGATTATGTGACTCACAGTGACTCAGGGTAGGTGTTATATAGAACACACCCCGCGGGTCCTCGCTGGGCTTTTTATCTGAGCGGAGGGATGTTCGTGGGAATTTGACAGATTTTCTCGCATGAAGAAGAGATCTCACCTGGGGGGTTTTTTTCCTCCCCCTTTGGCCCTTTTTTTTTTTTTTTTTTTTTGTCATCATGCTATGGGCTTAAATTACATCAGTTCTGCCCAGAATAAAAGAAAAATCTGTTGACGCAAAGAAGAAAACGGCTTAATATTTAACTCAGTCTGAATACAGAGGCAAACATCATAAGAAGGCCAAAAAAAGGTTGGTTGTAAAACAGTTAAATAACAGTGGGATATGAACGGATCGATCATCTTCTGTTAATAGTGATGAGTAAGGCCACTACAACTAATGAAGATCCAAAATCCATCCGGCCACCATCTTGCCTACTCAGCTGAAACCTGACAGTTCTTGTACACAGTCATTAACATCCTCCTCAAAGATCGCAAGCCCATAAATGGTCATTGCGGAAGAAGTTGGGCGTTCGCTATCGAAGCACGTTAACGGACGACTGAGTGGAAGGAAAACGTGCGGTTGAAACAGTTGCCCAGGCAGCAGGCGAACCCCATTCAAGAGTTTCAGGAACTCCCACACAAGCAGACGCGTCCAGGACGTGGAGGTCTCGCTTTGCTTTTGTTAGGCCGCTCTTGAACCAGAGACGTTGGGCTGAATGGCTGTTGAAAGAGCCATGAGATGGGTTTGTTTGCCAGAGGAGGCAAGGAGAGGAGCCAGTTTCCCCCCCGGCCAGGACATGATTCATGAGAAGCTCAAATTAATTAATTGCTAGGGAGGTCCCTCAGCAGCAGAAAAGACGTTACTCAAAAGTTACTCTTTTTCCACCTGAGCCACACCTACTTCAGATTTCCTAGAGTCACACAGCGGTGTCAGGATTCCAGAAAATAGTGGAGAGCGAGCTGCAAGAACTCCCAAACTCTCTTTAGATTAAAGCAAATACTGCACTTTATGTGGACATCAATGTAAGCCTCGTTTCACAAACTCATTCTCCTTTTTGGCCATATTATCACCACCATAGATGTTCTCAAGGACCAGTTTTAGGAGACTGTATTGAGAAAATCTATTAAACAGTTGAAATATTAATAAAAACATGTTTCTGCATTCAATAAGTTCTTCTTAAAATGAAATTATTTTGAACAGCTTATCACATTGATCAGTCCCTCTGGGATTTTGTGATTTATTACTTTTTTTTGTTGTTGCACTTTTTCGCATTCAGAAAACAAATTTTGTGGAGCTAATTTAGAAATATTTCTAAGGAATTTTTCAATATTTGCACTTGTGCGTGATGGTGAACGTGACTTTTTGTTACTTGGACTTAACTTGACATCAAGTCAGGCTGAGGCCGGATTTGTTGAACAAACTGGATAAGATGGAAGAGCTGCTCCACCGGTGAACAGCTCTAGGATGTTCTTGCTTCACTTCTCCGTTTATGCCATTCATAGGTCATGTGATGTTCTGTGTGTTTTCAGAGTGTCGCAGAAACCCTTGTAAAAACCAGGGAATATGTCGGCTGATCACGTCCACCGGAAAGGAAGTGTGTTACTGCAGAAATGGTTACAGTGGACCCGACTGCAGCCTCGGTAAGTAACCGTAACATGACTCCGTTTCACTCAAAAATGTAACAAAATTATGAATAAAACCTCCCTTCTATGTGCTGCTTAGAATATAAGTGTTTCAATGTTCTGGTTTTTCACAGGTTCATGAATGTTGTGTTAATTATAGTGGCAGGCGAGGATACAAAGTGACATTTTCTCTCAGCTGACTTTAGTTTTCGCTGGGATAAATCTGATTTCGCTTCGTGTGTCTCTGCCCGTGGCGTGTGTTTGTGCAGTGCCGGAGACGAAATGCTACAAAAGCAGGGGCACGGGCTACAGAGGCATTGTGGGCACCGCCGAGTCCGGCGCCCGGTGTCTGCCCTGGAACTCCGACCTGCTCTTCGACGAGCTCCACCTCGGCACGGTGAACGCGTCGGCCCTCAAAGGTCTCGGGGAGCACGCCTTCTGCAGGTGTGTGCACCCAGAAATGGAAATTAATAAGAGAAGTCGGAGGTCTTATCAGGAAAACCAGACTCGCTTTTATATTTCCTATAAATTCTAATTGAAAGCAGACATTGCCAGCTTTCTTTTAAAAGCCCTGCGCTAGCAAAAGCGGCTCGCTCCTTACCTCCAGTGGATGAGGCCACACACCGGGAAGCATTAACAACTACCTTCAGCGTTTGAGAAGCGCACGGCGACAAAAGAAAAATAAAATGGAATAATCTCTGACACAGTTGCTCTGTGTCCGGTTCCCACTGTTTTTCTTTAGCCTTTCTTGTTGCCATGACTACCTCGCAGCAATACGGTACACCAACATCAAACGGTATGTGTTGAAAAAGCGTTCCAGACGTCCAAGAGACCATTTTAAGAATCGGTAAAGAAAGCCTTTTAGGCTACATTCTGATAACAAGAAAGAAAATCCTTTCTTTCTCTTCCTTCTCATGTCGGCTTACCCTGAAAAACCGACATGAGAAGGTCGGCCTCTGTGTTGCGTAACCCGCTGCATCTGTGTTGTGCACAGAAACCCAGATGGGGACGTGAAGCCGTGGTGCTACACAGTAACTGACAGCGCCATCTCCTGGGAATACTGCAGCGTCCCCTCCTGCGTGACGCCAGATTGGCAACAGCTGACAGGTACAGAGGAAACGGCGTTTGCTGAATTACAAAAATGGGCCTTCTTGTGTGTAAGGCCTGGACATCAACATGATGTCGAAAACAGGAAGAAATGCTCAGAGGAAATGAGAAAGAAAGCACATTTCATGACAAGCAAGATGTAAAATCCTTGAAAAATGTTGATAAATAAAAAAAAAACGATACAAAACCTCTACCTCTGCTGACGGAAAGTAATTTGGTGGACAAGCATAATGTGGATGGTATATTTATCCATAACAGCCTTAGAATCTGATGACCTTCCCTTCTAATTCTACCTCTTTAGTTTAGCCTTACCGTGGTTCAGCATCTGAGGATATTTATTCAAAACATAACTTTAAGTTATTCACAGAAGATGTGCTTATTCACAGATTTCTTTTTGTAAAGCGCATCGAAAGAAAATGCAGGTTATAAGACCAGTGATGTTCCTCAGTGCTGTATCCCCAAACACAGTCGGTTCTGGACGTCCGGCAAACAGGAATCCCTTGGACCAACTTCATTTTTTAAAAATTTTTACCTTCACTGGTTTAATGAGTTAGAAATTAAAATGTCGCTCTTGTAGCTTCACCCGTATCGAGATAGGATCACGTTTTCCATCTGTCGTATACGGAGTCTGTAATCAGCTCTTTGGCTCACTTAATATACTAAATGGTGAAATATTGTCCCGTTTTTATGGTTTCTTAATTTTCTTACCTCTAAAAACAAAACAAACACCGGTAGACCCACAGTTGCCCCCAAAAGAGGCATGGAAAGCTGTAGAGTTTAGCTTCTGCACAAGTGCGAACACGGATTAAACTGTGTTTTGACATACCTGCTGTCTGGACTGTTAAAATAAGGAGTTACGAGCATCTTTAGAGGGAATCTCATCATGGGGGTTAAAACAATGAACCATAAGCCATATTCGACATGTTTGATGTAAGAATCATTAAATCCCATCCATCGTCTTTACAAAGCTGCCGTGGGTGAGAGGCCGAACTGTTAAATTTGACCAAAGACGCAAATTGATCTCACACACTTGAAGTGCACCACAATGTAGCAAAACTCAACACAGAAAGGAAAATGCTAAAAGCAGACCTAAATCGTTGAAAAAGGAACCAAATTGCTGTGCAAAGATGCACAATGACCCAAAACAACCCTCGGAGTCTGAATTTAATTTCTCTTGAGAAAAAGTATGTTTCAATAGCTTCTTTTTTAACACAGAAGATGTGAACTTGTGGTTAGTTGCTTTATCATAGCCAGGCAAATATCTGGTGAACTAAATTCGTATTAGTCTTAACCTTAATCTTCAAAAATGTAATATCATTTCACCCACACGTTTTCATTTTACCATCTCAAGGCATTCAAGTCCCTCTGTATCGCGACTCTTGATTCATCGACCCGGTGACACTTTGTCGCTTGAGAATAAGCCCGGCGCTCCATCATGCACCCAGCCGTTTGATTAAAGACCTTGGCGTTTTCCGATCTGAAAGAGAAAAACTGAAAGCCCACTGAGCGCCGCTAATCTCCTCCGAGCCGCGCCGCAATCAAAAGCAAGAGTTTATCTAAGGAGCTTTTCCTCGAACCTGGGCTCAGCCAGATACCGCGGGGCAAGAATGAGGCATGACTCACCCCGAATCAACACGTCATGTCAGGTGCAGCTGAATGTTTATGAGCCGAGTGGGATCTGGCACAGTCGGCGCACCGTCGCGATGCCAGGGGTATGCACAGAATTCACAATCTTCTCCGAGCCGCTCTCCAGCAGACGATTTGCATAGAGACAGAGGAGGCTTTGTCTCTCTTAGAGGATGCTTGTAGCAGGAAGGAGGCCAGGAACGTCACTGGGAAGGAAACTACCAGTAGAGCTGTGAAGATGTTTCAGATCTTCAATGTAATCATTTAAATCAAGGATAAAGAAAGTAAAAAAACAAACAATTTTTTAAATGTAAAATGACATGCTAAAGGTTCTACCACAGCATTTAAATCAGGCTTTAAGTTTGTACTTTGACTAGACCACTCTGAAACTTCATTTTATTGTTGTGATTTGGCTCATTGTCCCACTTTGCGATCCAAGTCTGCTTCGGCTTAATGTCACAGATGGTTTTCTGGTAGAGATCAGATTTCTCGTCTCTCCTCGGGAGGCTCACTAGTGTCTCCATCTTTTATGCATTTATGGATAACGACTCACTGTGGTTCACTGAAGTCCCAAAGCCTTAGAAATTACCTCATTTATTGGGATCAGGGAATAACTTGATGCTGTTTTTAAAGAGCTTTTAGCTCATCTTAAGTTGTCGACCATGTAAATAGTGAAACTCCACTTTGCAGAAAAGGTGCTCAGGGTTTCCCCCGGTGTATTCTAAGCCTGGCGGGTCAACAGGCTTTACTTGCATCCCCACCAGGCTAAGCATCGTTTATGTATTTTAGTTTTTTTCATGTTTGCCTTTTTTGTTGTTAATAATGTCTTCCAAAAATACGTAATCGTCTTTAAACATTTTAAAACTCAAAAATCAACGTCCCTCGCGCCCCCAACACCGGGCTTAGCAAGTTTTCTGGAGTAAACCCTGGTGCTTAATTGAAAAGCAATTACTTTTCACCCAGTTGTTGGCTAGTTTGGATGACTTTTGTCTGTTGATCATCAACTGAAAAACCACAGCTTGCATTTAATCTGATTATTTGTGTGTTGTATTGATATTTGTTAGATGAGCCGAGGCATTCGTTTATTTAGAGAGCTACAGTAACAGCTGCGTCTTGTTGCTTGGAATATTTATTTGCTTTAACCTTCTTTTTTTTTTTTTTTTTTTTTCCAGTTGCTTCTCGACGGATTATCCCATTCAACGCCCTGCCTAACATCAAAAAGCCCAACTCCTCCAAGCGAGTCGGAAATCCTGTGTGCGGTGTAAAACACAAAAAGAGGTTAGCGGTTGCCAGGGGTCGGATATTCGGAGGAAACGCAGCCCTGCCGGGAACTCACCCGTGGATGGCAGCCATTTATATCGGCCAGTCTGATTTCTGCGGCGGCAGTCTGATCTCCTCCTGCTGGGTCCTCTCTGCTGCTCACTGCTTCTTCAGCAAGTATGCAGTGCAGTTGAGCTGCACTACTTATTAAATATAAACTGAAAAATATTTTGTTTTGTTCTTTTTATACAGATATTTTTAACAGAATGTGAAAAGGGAAGCATTATATTCTGAACACTGTTTTAGAGGGTTGTAGATGGGGATTTCGTTTTCTTAATCCAAGAGCTTCAGAGTCACAAAACCTCTTCCTAAATTCACGCTGGAGAGATCATTCTTCTCAGTGGGCGCTTTTGTGATGGTCTGGTTTCAGACAGACAAGCTCGTTTGCATATGGAAAATGTATTATTTTATCGTGACCCTGTGTTGCTTATAGCTGATTTAAACTGATTTTCCCCCTGCAGCCCTCTGAAGTCTCAGCTGCGCGTGGTTCTCGGTCAGCACCACTTCAACACCACCGGTCCCAACACTCGGACTTTTGAGGTGGAGGACTACGTCTTCCATAAACGCTTCTCCATTTTTAACCCGACGCTACACGACATCGGTAAGCAGCCTTGCACCGTTGATGACCTGGAAAAGTTCCTCCTTCTTGCATCCAATAATCAAATAAAATGTAGGAAATAAACTAATTTTCGGAGCATGATTCAACGCAGCGCAGTCCAACAAGCAGCTTGTAAAACGGTCTCCCCGTGCTCGCCATTAAGCGCCAACTTATTTTATTTTTTTATTTTTTTAACGTCTGCTTGTGTGCCGCCCCTCTTCATAACCCCCTGAGCGACTGCCCATCGTCCTGTATCAAAAACCGCCTCTGTCAAGCACGGATTCGGTTACAAATGTCCCAGCGAGTCACTCCAGTTTGAACAAACGCCGTCCTTGTTTAGAAACACTCAAATGAGTTAAGACCCCTGCTCTGCGTCACTCGGCAGCTGTGCTTTTTACTGCCGGGCGTTGCCCCCAGAGTCCTCCAGTCTCCCACTTTCTTCAGCTTTCTAACCCATTTCGTAAGCTCATGTTTGTGTTTTTTTTTCTCTCTCTCTCTTTCTCTCAGTTCTAATCAAGCTGAAAAAGCAGGACGGGCGGTGTGTGAGGAGAACCCCGTTCATCAGGCCCATCTGCCTCCCAGAAAAGAGCATGAAGTTTCCCGCGGGCTACTGCTGCGCGATCAGCGGCTGGGGACGCATGCGTGAAAGTGAGTGGAATCGGCACTTAAGAGGAGCTTATTAACTTTACTATTTATTCATTTTTTCTTATCTTCTACATAATTAATGAGCTGTTTGTGGTTTCGACTTTACAGAGGCAAATGGTTACTCTACTCTGCAGGAGGCAGGAGTCAGGCTGGTTTCTCATGACGTCTGCAAGCGGCCACAAGTGTACGGGAACCACGTCACCGACGACATGATCTGCGCGGGACTCAGTGGATGCGTGGACGCGTGCCAGGTAGGCAGCGCATTCAGACGAGCGGGGAGTGATTGGGAGGGTCAAAGCCTCCACTGTGAGTCGAGCCTGCAGGGATTGCTGGGCACATCGTGAGGAAAAACCGTGAAAAGTTTGTAGTAAATGGTTACAGTCTGATCAAAAGTATCCATGCCACGTTTTCCACATTTTGCCACACTGCAGAATCAGCTTGAATCTGACTATTCAAGCTAATGCGTGATGTGCTTCACAGGGATTTAGAAATGATTTCCAAACAAAATCTGAAAAAACAGTGTGGTGAACATTTCTATTTAGGCCCGCCTAAATAAAAATCAGTGTAAGGTGCCTTAATAAATTCGCCGTGTTTTGATTCACTCGGATTATTTTTGACACATGTTCTCAGTGTGACTCGGATCTGGGCTTCAATCATGCTCATTTATGTCTTTGAGCTAAAACGTGGTCGTCCTGCAGGTGACAAAATCAACAACTTAAGATAGAGTTGCACAATTTCCAAGGAATATTATACAGCAACACTAAGTGGAAAGTTTTAGACCATCACGGCGAACACGCTACATGAACTTTAGCATTTCAGGCAATGAAGATGTTCGTCAGGTGAGGGCATCAACGCCAGTTAAAGTCTATTTAACAGGCCAGATTTATGTGACTGATATGCGGCGCATGAATGCATCACACTAAAATCTAACATTCCACCAAATATATCATCCAAGCATTCTTGTGCAATCGCAATATTGCACACACTAAAATGCGATGATGGGTGTAATTCCATATTTTGTGCAGATTAAGGTCGGGAGCACCTCCAGGGCATCATTTTGTATTATTTTTTTCAATAAAAACAAACTATATTGTTTTTTTTTTTTTTAGGTGCCTAGTAAAGAGGCAGCACAATAAACAGGCAATATGGTCTAACACTGTGAAGAAAAAAATAAACATTCACATTTTATTTTATCTTGTTTTGGAGGAATTGAAGCGAAACATTTTATATGTGCGATTTTCTTCGTTGAATTATTAAATTCAGGGGAAACGAATAAAAATTGACTTCAATCCCCCTCGAGTACAGGAAGTGATGCTTCATCATGATCTATTTTGGGAAATATAAAATCCAGGCTTGACCTCCTGCTTCAGTTTTAGTTCAAGCCTTCTGCTTTCTAATTAAACGTGGCAGCACATGAGATTCTTTGGACAGAAGTGGAAGTTTCTGAGGCATCTTCACCGACACACCAGCCACTCGAAGCGTTTAAACTCCGTCCTCTCACAGCGAACGTCAGAGCCGACTGTTTATACCTCGCTGGCGGAGAGCAATTTTTAGTGATGCATCGGGTTTCAAGTGTGTGACTCAGTTGTTTGCATGCGAGAGCTTTGATCGGTGCATGCATGTTTACACGCGTGAGCTATGTCCACTTATGTGCTTCCTCAGGGCGACTCTGGAGGCCCGCTGGCTTGTGCGAAGGGTGATGTCAGTTTCCTGTACGGGATCATCAGCTGGGGCGAGGGCTGCGACCAGCCGGGAAAACCTGGAGTTTACACCAGAGTGGTCAATTATCTCGACTGGATCCATTCCGTGATTAAACGGAAAAACGGGAAAACATGACAGTGCATCACCTGGACTATCAGCTCAACATCTTACTTGTATGTTTCTATGCTGTTTTTGGAAGAAAATAGAAAATATATATATATTTTTAACTGTGAAATACGTTGTGACTGAATATGTTTTAAATTACTTGACAAACCGTGAGTCTTTAAGACCAATAAAAAAGTACTTTAAATAAAACAATTGCATCGAAACATGTTTTTATCTGCACGACGACGATCAAAATCTTCTGCTTCTCTGATTACCCGTATTTTAAAAGCTGAAGTTGAATTTCCTCCCATTTTTTTTTTTGTGGAACCTATGAAAACATTTTGATCAACTTAAAATGTAAGAATCCTTGAAGAAACCGTGAAACAGGAGGTGAAAGTCATGTTTAAAAACAAAACAAAACGGGATTTAAACTCATCCCAATGGAATTGCGGTAGACAGGGAGGTTTAAGTCAAAAAAACAAAAAAAACAACCAAAAAACAAATTGAGGTAAATAATATAAAATGACAATATTGGGTTCATAAAAGAGGTCAAAGTAACCAACCTCTTTTACTCGAACTGACAAGAAGAACAAAAACAAACAGATTTACCTAAATGAGACAAATGGGAAACTTAAATACTGGCTGATCAGCCCACACAAACACAAAGAGGGGGGAACACACACAAACTGAACTGAACGAATAGCGTAAGAAAATCCCATTTCTCCTTCTCATTGTTTTGGTACGAACCAGTCCTTGTCCTGTCCTTGCTCTGCCCCTTTTCCACCTCTTCGATTCCCCCTGATGGATTGGAGCAGATGGCACGGAGGTAACAAAAAAAAAAAAAAAAACAGGGATTAAATCAAGTCATAGCAGAGTGTGACGGATCAGGGAAGAAGTTGTGGAGAAGATAATGTTGGGTTAAAAAAACAATATTCCAGCCATCGTGCTCCACATGAGCATTTTGAGCAAGGAGAGCATCACTCAGAAAAAGAAAAGAAAAAAACACCTACAGGGTCCACAGTGGAACAGTCTGTCGCCCTGAAAAGTCCAACAGAAGAAGACGGGACATCTCGTCACCACCGAGCCCACCGGTGGGCCCTGCGTGGACGGCTCCTCCTCTGCAGGGCCCAAGCCAATTAAAATTCTTGAAATTGTCTGAAATCTTAGGGAGAGAAGAATGCAGTGCAGTCCTAGCAAACGAGCAAGTCGAGTCCCCTCTGACTGGACAAGCATAAAGACCATATGAAACATGTGAATTTGTGAACCGTGTGGTAGCTTGTAATCCACCAGTGCTCCCAGCAGCAGCAGCAGGTGGCTCAGCCCAGTCCAGGTGGCAGCCAGGAGCTTAACACCGGCTGCTGGAGCCCTGAAGGACGGACGGACGGACAGACACCAGGCCCCGGTCATGGCATTCCTCCCCCGCCTCCCCTCCTCCACGTGCCCCCCTTGCTGTGGGTGGAGGGGCCTGGGGGCATAGCGACCAGCGCAGCTATTTTGAAAGTGACCCCCTCATTCAGGCAGCGACTCTGCAGCTGTCAGGAACCATGACTGAAGATGACGGATTCTGTTGTCGTGGAGGGATACGCCAGACTCAGAGATGGGAAAAAGGTGCTCGGGTTTTTATTTTTTTCATTTTTTTATCTTTATTCGCTCCAGGGAGAAAACAAAAATCTCAATAACTTCCGCAAAGACGCTTGTGTAAAACTTGTTGTTTTCCCTTCACAGTGGAGGACTAGGTGGCTCGTGTTTCGTAAGCCGTCGCCTGTAGCAGGTAAGAAACCACCGATGTGTTGTTTACTTCTCACACCTGTGCGCAAGTTTAGTTTAGCGCCACATTGGAGAAAAATCGTAGTTTTGGACTTGAGCCGTAATTTACGGGCATGTGTGGCGTTTTCAAACGTTAGCAGTTTGAGCCTGTAAGTTTTGGTAATGGCACATCTTTCTAATATGCAGAAAACGTATTAGAGGCGAGGCGGCGGTGGAAGGATGATGGTTTGGCGTGTAATAGCTAGGAAAATCAAATCGATCTGTTTGTATTCACCAAACACAATAAATTAAAATTTATTCTCAAAATTACAGCACGAGGCGTTCACAGATTTGATATTATACTTCAATATATCTGTTTACCTTAAAGTGCCTCAAGGTGAAATTGGTTGTGAATTGGTGCTAAACCGAATTATGCTAATTTAGCTGAAATTGTGTGTGTGTGTGTGTGTGTGTGTGTGTGTGTGTGTGTGTGTGTGTTTTAAAGCGTCCCCTCTTAAAGCTGTGCTCATTTTGCTTGTTTGAGTTAGAAAAATAAACGGGTCTCACAGTTATGATATAATGTTGACTTGGAGCAAGAAGGTCCCGGTTAAAATCCTGGCCTGGGATATTTCCGCACTGTTTGAATGTTCTTCCCGTCCACGGTTCGGGTTCTGGCTCTGTCCGGGTACAGGTTACTTGGTTTCCCTAAATTGTTTTGCAGGATTATTAGTTGCCTACAATCCTACAAGAATATGTGGATATAGACAAAGCATTGATGGAAAAATTCAAAATCACTATATATATATATATATATATATATATATATATATGTGACATATGTGACACTTTTCAACATTTCACACTGTAGGATTGTTGCTGCATTACTGCTCAGCTCAATGCTTAATACAATTTACCTGACTTTTAAACTTTTAAAATGTAACATGGTCTGTAAGGAAACAAAGTAGTTTAATTTGATTCCTGTGCAGATTAAAGCTCTTTGGGTGTCATGCGGGGCATCTCAGTGCAGTGTGTGTGTGTGTGTGTGTGTGTGTGTGTGTGTGTGTGTGTGTGTGGAGGGTATATAGAGCTGCACAGCTTAACATACTGCACAGGTTGAGTGGTGCTCCTCCTCAGATCTTTGATGTCAGTGTTGTTACAGCTGTCTGCACTAAGGTCTTGTTTTTCTAAGTGTGTGTGTGCGTGTGTGTGTGTGTGCGTGTACGCGAAGTACAGCAAAATGCGGACACACTTTTTGTCGGTTGACACCGAGTTGTTCTTGAAAGGCGTCAACAGACTGGAGGACACGCCAGCGGCTACTGTCGGTCAGAAAATGGAGTCAGAGTAGAAATAAAAATATATGTTGTGTTTCAGGAGAGAAAACGTCTTGAATTATAAATACTTCTCATCAATTATTTGATAAAATTGCCATCAGTATGTGAAAAACAAGTCTGCTCTTTCTGTCTGTCTCCCTAAGTGTTGTGTTTGCTGCTCAAATCAAATCCAGTATCCAAGCATCAGCGGTGGTTAGCACCTCTCAAACAGGGACAATATATCATATCTGTAATAAGAGATTCTTTCTCTCATTATTTTAGTATTTAAAGAATATGAAAATGAATGCATTCAATAATTGTACCTGAAAAGAAGAAAAGCTTTGTCTGTTTTAATGTCAGTGTGTTTTTTTTTTGTTTTTTTTTTTTACCTGATGCGTGTAAATCTTATTTTAACTGTTTTTAACTAAAACAAGTCATTTAGACGTGTGCACCTCTAACCTCCAGTATTTATTTATTTTTACCTCATCCTGTGTGAAACTCTTTGTCTCTCCGCTCCAGACTGCCTCGTTTTAGTGGTTTTCAAAGACAAATCAGACAAACTCCAGAGCAACAAGGAGAGGGCGAGCGTCACCTTGGAGGAGATCTGCGGCCTGGAGGCTGGACAGTGGTATGAAGGCGTGGCGTTTACTCTGACCGTCCTCTGCCTGAACCAGGTCGCGCTGCTGGGCTTTGACAGCAGGGAGGCCCTGCAGGCGTGGGAGCTCCGCCTGCGCTACGGCCTCGGAGAGGGTGAGGACCAACGCACTCCCAAACGTTTCGTCGTTCCTTCTCTGTAGTGAAATCACAGAACTTTGGCAGCTTCAGTTTCAGATCGCCAAGCAAGGAAACTTATGCATTTGTGAGCATGAAAAACTTTGATCTGATTGGAACCAATAAGGATTTCCCGTCTGATACCTACGTTTTTTTTTGTTTTTTTGTTCGTAAATGCTAGAACAAAAAATAAGAATGAATGAGAAAATGCATCCCTGTGTGATCTTCAGCATGTCTCCCTCATGTTTGTCTGATTTTAATTATATTTAAAATAACCGAGTCAGAGGATCTAATGTTTGCTTTAGCTATAAACCGAATATGGCGGCAGTTCTTATATTTTGTTTGTTTGACATATTTGAATAAGACTTTATATTTTTTTGGTGTCGGACCTGCTGACCGGCCACTCAGACCTAATCATAGGGAAACTGTCAGATTCTGATCTCTGTCTCTTTGATTGCTGAGTTTCTACTCATTTTAACTTTGCAGTTCAGACTTTAGAAATATAAAAAGACTTAAATAAGAACTGGGGGTGTAACGATGCACAAAAATCACCGTTTTGTTTATACTTCTGTTTTAAAGTCTCTCTTAAAGCCTTGGTTCTCTTCAGTCAAAAGAAACAAATAAAAAGTGGCATTCATAAAACTCTCTGAAGATTTAGCTGTTGATTTTGCTACGTGAAGCTAAATTCATGTTGGCTTTTTTTTGTTTAACTTCACAAATGATCAGAAAGGCATATTTTAGAGGATTATAAAACCTGAAATTAGAATCGGATAATCGAACAACTGAACCAGTGTTGAGCAGAAATAATAGACAAATAATGAAGTCAGTTATCTGTATTTAAATGAGTACGTCATAAAATTGTTTTACCAGTGAACAGTCCCACTTAAATGTGTGTGAAAGCACATTTAAGACACCCTACAGTCTTCTGATTAAACTTAATATCAAATAATAACAACAAACTAAACACAGCACAAGTGAATGTTTCCATTGTGGTGATTTGTAACTTTAAATTCTTGTATTCAGACCATCTATTGTAGAACTTATGACAACCCGTCTTTGTGCAATGAGCATTTCTGGCATTGCAGTGAGACTCACTGCCGTGTAACCCGGTGGAGCTATTATATAACCTACATAGAAACTAATAATAGCATTGAACTGTTCATCAGTTGGCAGCTGAATTGTAAATATGTCTCTGATGACAGTCCTGTTGGAGGCGACTTTGCAAACGATGCCGGAGAGAAATTACGTCACAGCTGTTCCTCAGAGTTTTGGTGTTTTGTCAGATTACGATCGCTGCTTATTTTAAGTAGGTAAAACTTTATTTCGACAGCAACTTTCAAATGTAGCAAAGCGGCTCACAGTAAAAATGGGCTTAAAATGAGTTGAAATGTAACATAAACGAGGACAGAGTCGATAAACCGGTCTGACATTATAGAAACTTAAACTAGTTAGAACGGTTCTGAAAGTGAAGACTGAGATTTTAAAATTCATTTTAAAAGGTTTCAAAGGTCCAGGAGAAAACAAAGTATAACTAGAAACTTCAAGTAAAGCCGTTTTTGTGGAGCGGCTTTATAAAAAGGCCAGGCTAAAATTTGTTAAACGGCTCCCGTTTCTCAAAAAAAGAAAAAGAAATGAGCTGTTCTGTCACTACCTTTTCAGAAGCCTTTGACATTAAAAGGATCTTGGAGAAAGACCTGTAATTTAATAATTTTTAAACCGTGTAGGATCGAAATTGCATCTTTTTTTTCTTTTTTTTATTATTTCCAATAACGGCTCATCAACGGCATGCTTGAAAGAGCTCCACTTGTTAAAAGTGAGAGTATTGAACGTTTCTCCAGAGCCTGTGTGTGTTTGTGGCCTTCTGCTTAATGCCATGGAGTGGAAATCATCCAAACCTGCACAGATGTCACCTGCCAGCCGTTCCTCCGCCATGTTGGCCGAGGGCCAGAGCGCCTGGCGCTTCTGTCGCCTTGTGTGCCGCCGTATGAATCTCTCCCAGCCTGAGTGATGACGAGAAGCCGCTGGCCAACCCTTTGTCATCGTCACCAACGTTAATCTCATCTGTTTGTCTCGGGTTCCTTATTAATCCCGCACCTGTGGAAAGCTGCAGAAACTTTGGGTTGGAGAAGCACAAGCTTGTTGATCAGAGTTTGCTCTACTCCTCCGCTCGGAAACGATTTTCCACTTCAGATTTTTGTTTTGTTCCTCTGACTTTCTTGCGCGCATTATTCACGTCCAAGACGTTGGGAGAGCTGATTGAAGTTTTGCATCCATCGCTGCTCCGTCTAAGCTTCTCCGTCTGCTCAGTTCACAGATTCGGCGTCGGGGTTTTACCAGGGACCAAGCTGGAGAGCGGACCTGCCACTCTCCACCTGTGCAACAACCTTCTGGCCCTCGTCCGGGACTTTCCTCCCGTCATCATCGGCCACTGGAACCTGCCAGACCTGCGCAGATACGGACCGGTGCCGAATGGATTCGTGTTTGAAGGGGGAACAAGATGTGGATACTGTAAGTAGATTTCCATGCAACTCTGGATTTAAAGAAGCCTTCGAGGCTGCAGTCAGGGGACCTTTGTTATTTTCTTATTAATGCAAACTTTCTCTCGTTAATTCTCTGATGAAGATGTGTCAAGCTTTTTATTTTTTTCCCCCCAAAGTTTCCTGTTGAAGTGTTAGCTTCAAGTTGTTTTTTTTTCTGCTATTAGTCGTGTGAAGTACAATTCATCCAGCGTTGAGAAATGATTGAAGGGACACAACAAAGCATGTGCTCTGCTTTTTATGATTTGGTTATTAAAACCATGTGGATAAGGATATAAAATATAAAGTTTAATCAGATGTTTCTCTCTTCTTGTCAAATCTGAGTTCTCTGAACTTTAGTGTCAGGATGGAGGATTTTTGGCTTCAGACTTTTTATTTTTTTTCCTTCTTCTTGTCCATCTGATCTCCCTCAGGCAGACACATTAACCAAGACAGCTTTCAGATGGATTTTATTATGAACCAGAATTTTTTAAGAGTACATCCACAGATTTCTCCCCAAGAAGACATTTTCAAAGTGATTGTTTTGTAGCTTTTTCTTTGAGAAATCTACGTTGGTAACTTTTGTTTTCATATGCAATTTTTTGTTGTTTTTTTCTCTGTAGCTTGAGCTTCAGAAATTGTTTTTCTTGCTAGTTAGATTTGATTTCTGTCATTTTTCTTTGATCACCACAACATGACATGCAGCTCTGTGTGTAGAAGTTGTAGCTCATTGCAGCGACTCCTCAATGTTTCTCTTGACTGACATTCAGAACAACTTTAGCCTCATTATTCCAAACATTGATTGTATTATTGTTTAATTATTTAGGCATGAAGACGCTATTTTAATGTATTAGAGCATTCGGCCTGAATACAGGGAGCATCAATGACCTTTTAGCCTGTGAAGAATCTATGGGGAAAGTAAGAGTCCTCACTCCAAACCTTTATTTCAGAAACTACACGTCTATTCAAAATATCTTTTTCCTTGTTGAGAAATCAATTTTAATGTACAAACCAATGCCTTGTTTTCTAAATATGGAGAAAAATGTTTCAAAATGCATGATACGGGGTTTCCCCCAGTGTATTATAAGCCTGGCGGGCCACCAGGCTTTACTTGTGCCCCCACCAGGCTGAGCATTGCAAATTATTTAAAAAGTCTTTTTAAAATGTTAGCATTTTTAAGACTTTGTAGTTGGTATTCAGGTATTAATCTTTCAATAACACATAATTATCAAGGGATATTTTCAAATTTCCTTTCAACTTTAAACATTTTTTGACTCAAAAAGACGACGGACCGCTGGATGAATGACCACCCTCGCACCCAACCACTGGGCTTAGCAGGTTTTCTGGGGGAAACTTGATGATTACTTGTACTTTAAATCTCCCTAAAAGAGACTGGAACGAAACTCTGACTATGTTGTATGGTCAGGTTTGCCCTGCAGCATGATGCTTTAGAGGTATTGCACTGCAATACCTCTCAAGGCATCCCTGGTGCGTTTGAGTCTCCAGAGCCTCGGGCTCAACAAGCTCAGAGGATGAAGAAGGGGGATCGAGATGAGAGTCTCGGCTCAGCTGACAAAAGATGGACGGGCGGATAAATCCAAACAAACCAAAAACAAAGATGTTTGGTTGCTGGCGAATTTAGTTCTGCAAAGCAAAGAATTGACTTAAAGCAGCTAGGATTGGGAGTGAGGAAACATACGGCAACATTAGACATTTTATTTTACGAAGCAATCTAATGTTCCTACATTTAAAAAAAAAATGTGAATATGAGGAGAGTGGTGAAACTTTCCAGCAACAGATCCACATAAAGAAAACCCACCAGGCGCTGCTTTTACCTTCACTTACAAAACAACAAGTACAATCTGGTGATGTAATCTCTGGGTACAGTTTATCCGCAGCAGCTCAGGCACGAGTGAAGCTGAAGCTTCTTCTTTTGGCAGCTCACTAAGCTGTTGTCTGTGTCCTCTCTGCTCCTTTGTGGGAAATATGAGCCGAGCCGCTCTGCCAGAACCTCTCAAGGTTCTGCTCAGTGTTTTCTGCTAACAATGGGTGTTCAGCTTAGCGCGTCAATGAAAGCAGCAAAAGATTCAGGTTAATACATTTTCACTTGACCTCAAATTTTGTATGCATGTTCTATTAAATGCAAATTTAGATCAGAGTAGTTTAATTTCCCAAATTACCGTAAGCTTCACTTACATGAGTTAGATTTTTAGCTTTAATTGTTAATTCTCTTTAATCTTGGACAATAATGTTCAGCATTTTTACTGCCATTAGCTGATATATTTCATCTTAAAAGGTCAACACATTAATAAGTAATGAGAATAATCTTTGACTGCCTGGTTATTTTCCAAATAATGCCAGTGATTGATTTAAAACAGGTGAAATGATAATTATTTTTATGAATAATTGATCATATCGCATATGGAAATATACCGCAGACTTTTTTTTTTCAGCTCTGTGAATTATATTTGCCTCAATAGAGGAAACGCGTCTTCAAGCTCACTTAGTTTTTTTGCTCTAAAATAAACTTTCTTAGGATTCATCAGAATTATTTAATTATGTTCAGAAGATGTATCTATGTCAGGAATTCACACATGAACTCAAATACACTTTTCCAGGAAACACAGCTTTTAATAAATATATAACCTTGGTGAACAGTGTGCTGGATTAACATCTATCATGTTAATTAATAATTGGCAATAAAATTCTACTCTGTGTATTCTGCGACCTGCGTCTCTTTGTCACATTGTTGCGCTTTGTGGTGTTTTTTTCCCCTTGAAACGGTGGAACTGTTTTGGTTTCGTTTCCATGTTTTCTCTAGGACAATTTCCATAAATCATATCATTCTGTGCATAATACAGAAACAGGAGTGTATGGTCACTTTCATGAAAATTTCCAGATCAGTTTTGCGGTGAGAGTGGTTCAAAACCCACACCGGGCCTCGGGTGATCGGAGGAAATGAAGCTACGTTGCAGAATCATTTCGATTAGGCCTAATGAGCTCTGAGCAGAGAGAAGATGCGTAACATCACTTAAGAAATGAATACAGCATAAACGTATACTGGACTGGATAGCTGAGAGCTTTTAGGACCTCGTCCAGCACCTCTGAAATGTGACTGTAGATCATAGTAGTGCTGAGAAGAACTTCCATTTCGATTCTCTAAAGCACATCTGTAACCTACAGCAGCTTTGCTAGACGCTTTGAGAGACATATGTACTGGTTTAATCTTTTACCAGTTCACTAGCTTGGCTTGCTAAATGATAAATGGACTGGACTCAAAGTGCTTTTAAACTCCCAGATACATTTTTTTCCTTAGCAGCTTTGGGTTTGGTCTCTTGTCCAAGAACACTTCAAGCTGCTGGGATCACACTCACTACCTCGCATTTCTTTAGTAAGGACTCAGCAAAGCTCATGATATTCATAGGTTGAAATGGACAAATAAAAGCCTCCATCTTCCTAAATCCACTGAGATTCTGTCGCAGGACTTAATGATTTATCAAATCCATCAAATCTGATGGAGGTTTACAAAAACAAGTGAGCAAAAAATAAAATAAAGCTGACGTTGACTTACACCAACTGGTGAACCTGAGCAGGCTGAATTGCAAAGGCACCACACACTTTTCAGATTTTTAACATAGAGCTAAGAACCATGTACTTTTGCTGCTGCTGACAGAAACTCTTGGCTCTTGACTGCCTGTGAAGATCCAAGCGAAGCTCACACCTCCTACCTCCTGAACCGGTTTAATAAGTTCTGCTGCTTTTTATAGAGACAGTGTTTTTGTCACTTGTTGAGGCAGAGACCAGAAGGGTCCACTTGAGTTTCTGTTTTGCTTGCTTTTACTCTGAATAACGCGAGCCAAATAAACTCTGCCACCTGTGCTTTGTGGTTATTTTGCACTCTGGCTTTTTGGCGGCGCACCTGACGCTCTTCGTCTGCTAATAAAAGTTCGACTTGTGGGCGTACAGTCGCGGGTTTCAGGTTTCGTAAACAGCTAGTTCGCTCGTCTGGACGAGACGCGTCTTGATTAGATAACACAACAGCGAGCGGCCTGCAGATTCTCAGTTTCAGCCGGCGCAGACATTCGAGCAGACTTCACTGCTGACCTTTGACCTCTGTGGGCATTGGAAATGCGATGTACAGGGGTGGTCTTGAGGAATGGCGCGACCTATTTTTTTTTATTGTTTGTGTCTCGAAGCGGACCGGCAGCTGTACAGTCAGAGATCTCGGAGACCTTTGACCTTACAAAGGTTTTTGTTTTCTTTGAGGCTCCGAGCTGAAAGACGGGCGTTTTAGTCTCAGTCTGCTGCATTTCTTCTGATGTTAAATTTAACGGTGACATGCTGAGCGTAAGGATTGTCACCGCAGAGCTTTTAGTGGCAACTTGGCAGTGAAACCTATGTCAGCTTTGAGGTTTATTACTTGTCTTTGGACCATCTGTGTGTCTGAAATGGACTCATTAACTGGAGCCACGGTGTACGATTTGCCTCTGGATTATTTGGAAAGTATAAACTATTAATTTAAAACATTTTAGTAGTGTCTTATAAAGGCCTTAGCTGAAATTTAATAACTTTAAATCCTGATAAAGCCCACATTATCTACAGATGGTAATGGGTGTGTTTTTGTTTTTATCTGATGCGAGAAATCCTCTTGCTGTTATGGAGTGCAAAGCAGGACCTGAAGCGGAGAGGAGGCAGGAAGTTAAAAAATAAACTATTTACTTTAACAAAAATCTAAAACTGAAAACTCATGAGAACCAAAAGTCAGGAAGAATAACGAGGACCAGAGGAGATGCAGGAGGAAACGGTAGGATCCGACACTGAACCAACACTGAATTATATTTAACCTGGAGAGGTGACTACTGAACAGGGAGTTTGGTTAGAAACAAGGGCGCAGCTGTGATGAAAGAATGAGAGAAACGTTTGACAGAATGCACGGGAAACATGGGAAACAATTACAGAAACGTAAACAAACCAGAGACTCTGGCCAGCATAGGACATGATTAAGATTCAAACAAAACGGAAGACCAGAGAACACAAAGGAAACAAATATAGTAAAGTCAGTTTTTCACTAACGATTGTCACTAAGAGCTGAAAATACATTTGAAGAACAAAAGTTGAGAACTAAAAACTGAACATCAGTTCAGTTTTTAGATTCCTTGAAACTGGAATCTTTTTCAAGGAGATATATATATATATATATATATATATAATACAAAACCTATATGATTATTTTTGCCAATATGTCTTGTATTTAAAGCAGAACCTCATGAAGATATTAGCATGGTTTATTAGCCAGTTGATAGATATTAGCATGGTTTATTAGCCAACTGATAGATATTAGCATGGCTTATTAGCCAGTTGATAGATATTAGCACGTTTATTAGCCAGTTAATCGATATTAGCACGGTTTATTAGCCAGTTGATAGATATTAGCATGGTTTATTAGCCAGTTAATCGATATTAGCATGGTTTATTAGCCAATTGATGTTATTTTTTTATTTTTAAACTTTGATAACGTCCACTTTCTACAGGGGCTGGTGTTTTTCTTCTGGCGTCTGCAGAGGGCGAGCAGATCAGCTTTCTGTTCGACTGCATTGTTCGAGGCATCTGCCCCAGCAGAGGTCCATTCGGACTGCGGCCCGTTTTGCCAGGCAAGTACTGCAAAACCCTCCTAAGCTCAAAAACCTGTTGATAAATAACACAGGGAGTTTTTAGATTCCAGCACAAGAGTACAAAAAAGAGGCAACGTAAGCAGAGCCTGATACTCGTCTGCTGCGTTTCATGCAAAGATCAATCCGAGCTGCCATGTTGCTCACTGGGAGTGAAACGATTTCTGCAAAATAAGTTGGTGGACTCAAGAATCCTTGACTAAGATGTCTTTTATCCAATTTGATAATCCTGTGAGTCAGTCGATAATTCAGACAACATCTGACTTAAGGTGTTTCGAAGTGAATGGAAATTCTTTGGGCCACCTTAAATGTAACACACAAACAAAGATTTTCCTCCAGCTTCCCTGCAGATACAAGGGGAACCAACACTGAACTAAGAACAAAAAGTCACTTCGGTTAATTGCCAACTTGAGCAGCAATTATTTTCTTTTATCAGGAGTTGGAAACAGAAAACCCAGACCTATGAGGTCAAACATGATTTAAAAATATATATTTTTTGCTTTTAATTATTAGACAGTGGTTTGCAACCACAGTTTTTTCTATTTAAAAACTTTCATATGTAAAATCGAGTCAGTCGGAAGTTTACATACTCGTCTTATATGCCTACTGGGTGCAGAACACTGATGACCTCTGTCCTGTAAGAAACGTTGCCATGTTTTTACTTCCCTCAGTGCTACCTGCAGAGGTCTGCACATGTTCCAGTTTTCGCTCATCTCGCCGCCCAATAGCAGGTTGAGCTCATTTTCCTATTATTAGAGTGCGAAGAGCAATAAATAGCAGGGACGATGTTGGAGGGGGCCTTAGGGGTCAAAGTCACAGTTCACACAAGCAGAGAAGCCAAAGCCTCCTAATCACTCCGAGCATGTGTGTAACCTCATCCTCCGGATTCCTCTGCTGCCTCGTCTGATCAGTCAACCAGCGCTCGACTCTCCCTGCTGATGTTTTTGTCGCTTTTTACGGTTCTACCGTCATAAATCTTCTCCGTGGCGAACAGTTATGGGTCTTGTTTTCGTATCGTCGTCCCGGTCGGCTGACAGTTTTGATTAACTGCTGTGATGACGCTGGGTTCGCTTGTCGCTCTGAGCTGTTATGTTGCCCCAACCTCTATATCATAAACTCTATTAGCTGTCTGATCTGCATTCTTAATTTAAGATTTATTAAGTTTGAAATATTAATTAGAGATGTAAAAGCAGGTTAACTTAAAGACGAATAGCATTGTGGAGTCCTTTATTAAACTTTCATGCGATTTGTCGTTCCTGTAGACACAGGAACGTTTTCAAAGTTTAACACGAGCTTTGAAAGAAAATAAAAAAAAAGAGGAGTTCTTATTAAGAGGCTTTGCAAAAGTACTTCCTTTCATAGTCCAAAATTTAAATTTACTTGGTCTTTCTAGATTTGCCCCTCGCGTCCACACCGAGGTCTGGCGACGTGTCCATGGAAATGGGTGGAAAGGAAAAAACACAATGTTCTAAGAAGGTCTTTAAAAAGTCTTAAAACGATGTCATCTATGTATTCAGCCAGCTTTACTTATTTACTCTTACATAAAATCCAGGGAAACCACCGAAATAAATCACCCACTTAGTTAAACCTTCACACTTTTGTGTGTGTGTGGGGGGTTTTTTTATCCCAAAATGGAGACGTTCCTCTCAAAACGACCCGCGTTTTGGTAAAACATAACTTATGTTTTCTTGTACAGTCAGAGCAAAAACGATTATTGATTACTGCAGGTCACATTGCATTGTCTGGCACATTTATTTATTGCCATTTTGATGTTGATAATCAGATCAATGCGATCGTTGCTTAAATGAGAACCAGATGTTTGATTTACTCGATGCATTGATTTGCCAAATCACTTTGTTTCATTTACGAAATAGCATTTAAATTCTACGTCACTCACTGTAGCGAGATAAATGTAGTTGTTGTTTTTTTTGTAGAAGTTTTTATTAAAACAATTTTACACAGTCATTGACTTGCTAGTTTTTAGGTAAAGTTTCACTTCTTGCCATTACGTTTTTTTGTGGATTGTCACAGAGACTCTGAGTACTTGATTGCGTTGCACTTTGCTACAGAACAAACTTGCTGCTCTCGTCTTATAGCATATTAACTAAATATTGTCATCTTCCTCATATAATGGCCTAGGTCTTTTTTTTTTGTTTGTTTTTTTGCAAAAAGTGATTTAAGCAAACAAATCACTGCCTCATTTTTGCCGAGATGATTTAGGCAAGAAAGGACGTAGGCCATTATTTTAGGAAGTTGACGACATTTAAAAAAAACAACAACTTGACTTTAATAAAACTAACAAGTAGCGCTATACTTTTAATGAAGCGCCCGCTCTAAGATAGTAGTGGAAATGCTGCCAAATTTGCTTTTCAGAGTCTTATTTAGTCTCGATGTGTCTTTTGGTAAGATTAAGGAAATTCACGTGGAGTAAAGAAATTGTTCGTTTTAACGAAACACAATCTCACATTTACTAAAAACTTTGCTCAGAAGATCAAACAGAAATCAGACCTCTGAATCAATCGGCGTCAGAGCTGACCTTGGCGATTCGAGGTACATTAGATCCTTGCCCGGCTCCAAGAATCTTACCAGCAGCAGCAGCAGCGATAGAAAACGTGCCAAAAGAGCCACGTGGCAGTGCTATAAATAAACCCTGTACTGGTGCACAAACATTGCATAGACCCCGTTTTCCAGCCCCAGCCAAAGCGTCGGGATTCTCACAGTTTAAGCTTACATCACACCTTTCTCCTATATCCATCCTGAAGATGTTTTTTTTTTTTTTTGCAGAACTCAACTCAGGCCAAACAAATTCAGAGGAGAAGCTGAACCTGGAGACCCAGGAGCTGGAGAAGCGACTGAGCATGCTCTCTCATGGGAGCAGCACAGGTGGGATCCTGCAACCCGGGGAGGTTAAACTCCACTCCTCCAGTGTCCTGCATCTTTGTGATGCGTCTCCTGTCCAACAGAGTCCAATCAAATGGCTGAATCACCATTATCTATCTAGTGACTTCATTCAGCTGGACACTGGAGTTTGACAGTTAGCCTGTCAAGAACTGAAACTTAAATCGAAATGCTGGTCAAACGTAAATGTAAAAGTAAATGTTACTTTTAGGACTGTCAACATTGGCGAATGGAATGAATCTAAAAAACTTTTACACTTTATCACATAAAGCAGATTCATCTGCATTACGTATTTTGACCTGTAACCTCTCTCCTGAGCTTTCCTCTGTCTTGGATAAAACCAGAGGTAGTGTGCACATGATTACAGTGATGAATTATCCTTCCACCAAAGCTCGAGCAGTTTACAGTTAACATTTCTAAATTAACGTTTGAAGCAAAACGTCCAGAATACGAAAACCTGGAAAACAGACTCTCCAGACATGTTTGGTTTGAGACGGTAGATGGTTTCTGTTAAAAAACGTTTTGAAAAGGAGCAATTTTACATTTCAGGCAGACGAACTGGAACATGGTGATTAATCACAGAGCTAGAGTGATTCATTAGATCTTTTAAATCTACTGACAGCACTAGTTATGCTTACGTTTAACCAACTTATCATATCATGGTGCTTTAATTTGCTTTATGAAATGTTAAACATATATATTTTTTTTTTTTTCTTAGCAGTCTCATCCACGTGCTTCCCATCTGCCGGGGGAGACGACCGCAGCATATCTGGCTCCTCCGACGCGTCCGACACCAGCCAGTCAGACTGCAGCATCGGCAGCAGGCTGACCATTTGGACCGAACCCGCCTCAAACGCCACCGGAAGCGCCTGCCACGCTGGCGCCAAGGCGGCGCTGCAGACTGCAGAGAAGCTGTCAGCTGGCCAGGAAGGCGGCGGCCGACCTTCGGCCAAGCCGCCCCGGCAGCTCCAGGACATCGGCCGTCAGAGCTCTTCGGACAGCGGCATCGCCACCGGCAGCCACTCGTCCTACTCTGGGAGCTTCTCCTCGTACACGGGCAGCTTGGACATCGCCCCTGGGGAGGACTTTGGCTCCGTGTTCAGCTTACCCCCACAGCTGGCTCAAGAGCTAAGCCCTTGCAGTTGCCCCACTGCTCTTGGACAGGAGTACCAGGTGCCAACGTCGCTTGTTGGGCATCTTTACGACTCTCCCAGGAGAGTGTTGCATGAAGCGAGTGGGGGCGACAAAGACTGTGAGCCCTTTAAATCACCTGAAGACCACCCCGTTCCTTCAGACTGCCCAGCGGAGTCCGACTTGGGGGGCGCAGGCGGAGCGGCAACAGCTGAGGTTCAGTCAGAGGCGACAGACGGACAGTCAGATCCTGCACACGCACAGGGCCCTTCAAGTGACAGCGGGAAAACAAAGGCGCTGCCCTCTAGTGGCTCCTCTCACAGCTGCGGCTCCCTCTCTGCCTCCAAAACCGTAGTGGCCGTCTGCTCAGTGTGTGGTGGGTTCAAGGTAAGAGAAACTGATCGCTTCTCCTTTGGATTTGTCAGCCGGCCTCAGCTCGCGTGTTTGCTTTGTCAGCAGCGTCTCGTCTGCTCTGTGGATTACTGTAACACTGACCTTTGCGGTTTCAAAGCTGCGCATTGGTGGCAGAACCACGAACAAACCCACGGCCCATCTGTCCATTCAGCTTCACACCGTCATCGTTCAGAGCAGGTCTTTACGCCGAGCCGCCCAGCGAAGTATTTTCTTTCTGCTTCTGTTGGTGCGTCTTTTATATTTGAAGCATTTAGGTGGATTTCTGCGTGAGCTTTGTGAAGGGTTTTGCTTCTGGTTAAAACTAAATGTCGTCTTTATTCTTCAGATTTGTATGATTATGCTGTCACCAGAGATGATGTATAGTCCTGCTTCATAATTATTGTTTTTGGAGCTGAAAATGCAGTAGTTCATCTCATTTATCAATTTCTTTTTTTTTTTTTCCAGCTTTTGTATTTTAACAATTCGTTCTCAGGGTGGGTAGAAATCAAACCACAGAAATTATGAATGTGACATAATCCCTTAATTATATATGTAATGTATGTGGTTGTTTGCTGGTTTTGTAAGTTTGCTCACTGTCTGATCGAAACAGACTCTAATTTTTACAGCCGCTTCCTTTTAAAATGCACCGGCTGCGTTGTGAGGTACAGGTGATTAGTCAGGACCCTTTCTTGGCTTCTAGACCCTCTTAAGTCTTTGTGGCACAGATTAAATGTGTCGATAACATTCCTTATGCGTCGTGGTCCATGTTGTCACTTGTCAGCTGAATATCCAACAAATTAAAATCCCCCATTTAGATAAAAATCAAGATTCATAGAACCAGGAAACATCTTTCTGGTTTCATATTGTCCAGTTTGGTTGAGTGTGAGTTATTTTTAGCCTCAGCTGTTGTTGGCTGACAAGGAGTGGCATCATATGTGGTCTGATGCTTTCACCTGATTTAAGGTTGGTAACCTTGGTAACCTTGATTGTAAAGGGTCGTTATTTGAGCAACTCCTGCCTTTCTGTCATCTCATACCGGTCTGTCTGATCTCCTGTGACATCAGCGAGGCATTTTCGTCCACATAGCGGCCAGATGCTTGATTTTTTTTATTTTTTTTTCCGTTTTGGACCTTGTCATGCAAACCTGCGGGATTGGTGTGTGTCAAAATACTCGTGGAGCAGCAGTTTCTGAAATATTGAGACAAGCTTAGCAATTCAAAGTCACTTAAAACCTCTTTCACTGACAGATTAAAGCTCAGTGTCAGCTTTGTTTTACAGATGCCTAGATTAATTGATCTGCTGCCGCGTGATTGACCGATTTGCTATTTCTGCTAACAAGCAATCGAACAATTGAACCTAAAAAAGTGACTGTTTTGAACTAATTAGATGACTGTGTCCGTCAAATGAGTAATTTCCAACAATACATTGAAAATGTATGTTCCTACTTGAACTATAAAGTGCTACTCAAAGAAACTGGTGGGCTTACGGGTGTAACTGAAACAGGACAGCTGGAGAGATGGGAAACTGCAAACTTCAAAAACACAACACTGGCAGCTCATTTTGAATATTTTAGATTTACAATCTGACATAAACTAAATCCAGCCACTCTGAAGCCACTCCAACTATGAAGGAAACAGTCTAGATGCATTATAATGTCACATTTTCACTGTTTCATAGGGTAACCCCTACATCCAAATGAGTTCTTCAGGAATACCAACCTTACCTGGTAAGAAAAGATCTCCTTAAAGCTTTTTTTAAACATGGTGCATGCGTTGTTTTTTTGCATGAGCAGAAGCATCGATGCATGCTGGGAAAACTCAGTAACCCATCAGCCATGCACTGTCATGCACACCACTGCAGCGAAGAACACTCTGGACACGTCCCGGGCCTCCGCCGGATGCGCGACGGAGCCGCCAAGAGTGCAGCCGGGCGGTGATGAGTCGCCGCCGCCAAAGAGAGGAGAGAGAAAAATAGCCGACCTCTTATCTGATCCGCTCAGCTTCCCGAGTGCGGGCGGCCGGCCGCACACGGCGAACCCGTACGAGTCGATGAGCCCCGCTCCGGCAAATGAGCTCATTCTGGCACAGGCTGCGCCGCCGCGGGGCTCCCAGCAGGACAAAGGAGCTGTCGTTTATGAAAACTGTTTGAAGTGTCGAGGAGAGCTCTGCCAACCTCCGCTGCAGGTCGCGCCCGCTAAAATGCCCCGCAGCAGGGGCGTCCGTGGTTGTCAGAGCTTCCCGACTGGACCGTGCCTGAAGAAAAGCCAGGGCAGTGACAGAATTGCTGATGAGGAGCTGCTTCACAAACTCCTCAGGGGTGTTGAAGAGCGGCGTCGGCCGGAAGATGTAAATGACTCGACAGGAAGTGGAGGTAAGAGAGACGACCCCACCTCCCCGGTGTCCTTTGTGCCTCTGATCCTCTGAAGTGGATCTTCGCGTCGTCCCTTTTTTCACCTTTTCTTCTTTCTGCCAGCTTTTGTTTAATCAAATAAGTTTTTACTCTTTGCACCGGTTGATGTTTGCCTCTTTTGTCATTTCCATCTTATCTCACCTGAACCTGTAAAGACCTATAAACCTATAAAGACTGAGGAATTAGATTATTCCTCAGTCCTATTCCTGGCTGCATGTTCTTCTAGTAAATGCTGTTTTTGTTTTTTTTTTTCATTTTTTATGAACTAATGAATAAGGTTGTTGACTTTGTAGAGTTTATGCAAGATTATGAAGTGCAGTTCAACCAATAATCTTCATGAAAATATGCATAAATTACCCTGTTATTAATATGCTTTGGTTAAAACGTGTTGAGGATATGTCGGTGCTGCGCAAATATGTTGGACCACCACTAAATGATATTCAGACTGTTTTGAAAATGTGGTTTTGATTAATAGTTACTTATATTTTCGGAAGGCCTTTCGGTTTTTCCTTTGAACTTTAGATGCTTCTTCTTTTCATTTTCAACACAATCCTAAGTTTTATCCAACCACGACAGCATGTCGCGCTGCATGTGCTTATAAAATGATGGAAGTCAAATGAAAGGATGAGAGGAATCAGGTGTGAAAGACTGAACTGAGGTTTGATCTATGAATCTTTCAAAATCGCCTTGTCGGCGCTAAAATATTCTTTTGTAATTGATTATGGAAACGGATTGTAACTGTGTCATGTGTAGGTAATTATGCATCAGAAACAAGAAAACACGGATACTTCCATCACTTCTGTTAGTTTGTGTCATCCATCAGTCCATGTTGGCTCAAATTTAAACACTTTCTTTACGTTTTAAAGTGCGTCTCTTGTTTGTAAATGAGGCCATATGAATAATTTGTTCTGAGAGAAACGATAACTTCCATGCTCTGAGTGTTGACTTTAACGTAGAGCATGGCGTCTCTTAAGCAAACATCTTCTTCTGTCCTACCAGAGAAAAAGCTTGACGGTAAAGAAGAACGACGCAGAGCTGATCCTGCTTATGAGGTCATGGAGAGTCGGATGCCGGAGAAACACCCCGAGGTTTGTCGCCACGACGCCGTGTCCAGCAAGCTGGACGTCAGGCCAGTTCGCAAGTCCCGAATCTCGGATTCAAGAAATAAAACTGAATCTTTCAGCATTTTTTGTTTTCAGTCTTGCTAATTAAATTTTATTCCAAACATAAAATGAGAAACTAAAATCACTGGATTATTAGTTGTTTTGTTGTTGACATTTGGTTTATGTGACGATTAGTTTCAGTAATTTCAACTAGTAACACACAATGCACGTTTCCTACAGTGTGTGTTACTCTTTGATATTAACATTAATGTTCTTACTTGAGCTGGTTTTCAGACGTTCATCTAAGCAAAACAAATATTTTTAGCGTTTTTATAAATTTTGTTTGTATAAAACCTACATTAACATCCTAAATGACTCATGAAATGACAAGTGCGTTAATTTTTCTTTTTTTTTTTTTTATCATTCTAAAAACATTCCCATTTACTTCCCACCCTGAATGTCAGAGAGTTGGTTCTGACTGCAGCTGCAGGATTGCTGCGCTTTGGAAGAACAATGCATGTTCTCAGGTCAGAGAAAGTCTCCAGTAACACCAGAAAAAGCCTTGGAATTTGAAAACTGGCTCAATAATAGCTGCAGAATTGCTGCACTGACAACAGAACAAATCATTTGCTGAAATAGGTATCGAAAAATACCATTTAAAGACTTAAGTTTTTACTAAAATTCATCCAGCTTCTGCAGGAAGTTTAAATCTGTGGTAAAATGGCAAATATATTTAAGACCCTCGTTGTTCTGAGGTATTTTGCCTCTTCATGTAAAAATATTGTGTACCCTGAAACAACCTGCTCAATATTTTACCCACAACTCAACATGTTTAGAAATGAGTGTTGCGCCAAAGTGAGCGGTAATCCAGGCAAACTTTTGATCTACCGTGAAAATGCACGGCAGCAACGCAAACTTTTTTTTAGTTGATAATGACAAACTACAAAGCAAACCCAATGTTTTATTCTTATTGGTATCAAGTTGACAAGCGTGTAATTTCCTATTGTGAAATTTAACTATGTAAACTGCAGCTGCACAGAATCAGACTTGGAAGCAGTAAAAAGGACTTAAAATTACGACTGTGACTTTCTTAAATGATTGCTCTGATAGAAATCTAATATTAGTTTTCAGATTATACAACTTGATATTGTTTCAACATGAGGACTTAATTTAATGTAGCCTTCGTAGATTAAAGTTTCAAGTAAACTTTTAATTTTACCAGCATGTCTCTTCGAAACAAAAGTAAGACTTAATATTTTAGGCAGCGTCCAGCTTGACTTTGATGTATCTATGGAAACAGATGAAGATTAGGTTGATGGAAATGAGACCTTTCAATCCCAAGCAGCTCATAATCAGATTTTTATTTTATTTTAAAAAACCAGCGGAAACATCGGAAATCTCCATTCAGCAATTATAAGAAGGGTTTAATTGCTGTGATGCCGACAAATGTTATAACACTGTGATAAAAACACGTGTTATCACCTGGCAGTGAGCTCAGATAGAAACTGTTCACTAAATGCGTCACATCTTGCGTTCCAGCCGTGATTGTAATGGTGGCCGCATGCAGTCTGTGGTCTTTGATCAGTTTTCCCAGCAGCGTTGTCGTCGGGCGTCTGGGATTACACGGCTGAGCTCTGAGAGTCACAGCGTCTCGGATAATAACACCTCAGACTGGGCTCCCGCAAACGAGACGAGGTCCGACTTCTCAGTAAATCCTGCTCAGTCCACAAATCCTCCTGACATGTCCACTGAGTAGGCTTAAAAAAGTAGAAGATCACACTTTTGCGTAATGAAATTCATGCACTTGGTATGGCCACTCACTGCAAATTACGTTTAAGAGTTCTCACTTTTCTGTATTGCAGGTTGAAGAGAAGAGCAAATACGAGCTGATGGGCAGCTACGGCCAGCAGAGGCTCCTCCAAGAGGCTGAAGGTGAGCGGAAACGGCTTCATTTGGGAGGTTTTGATTTAACTTGCTTAAACATTTACAATTTCACTACTTGGGTTTCCTGAAATAACCGCAAGCCACTTTATTGATAGTGGAATACATGGATGAGTCACCCACTTGAATCAAGATTGCTTTGACGCTTCACCTGTCGCTTGGTGTGCGAGAATCGAAATGAGTCAATTAAAATAACTCGGTCTGTAGAAGCAGACTAACAGATGGCGTAACGTCCCTGAGGAGGGAGGAACGTCCGCGCTGTAATTCACTTCATTCAGGCAAATGGACCGACTGGACTGATGAACATTGTTTTTACTAATTGTTTTCCACGTGTGGAGCAGAGTGACGCGTCACACGCCAGCTGTCGGTGGAAATAAGCGCGTTAATATTTGTTTTTGTTTAGTTGTGTAAGCTTTGAAAGTATGGCTGGAAAAATTGTTGCATGTACCCAAAACTGTTATTGTTTGGAGAGAAGAAAAGTTTCCCCGTTTTAACCTTCGGTCAAGTTGGGGGTCGTAAACGACGTTTAACTCGACGTTTAGTGTGAGGAATCACTTAAAGTGTTACCAGCTCAGGAACCCTTTCACAGAAACCCGCTGCTTTTTTCTGGAAAAAAAAAAACGCACCAAGAAATTGTTTTCTTGGTGGAAACACCAGATCTCTGTTTTATTTCCCAGCCGGTCTCTCCTAGCACATCACAACTGTGATGTTGTTATCAGGACGGCAAGTTTCCCACGTTTTTCCTTCTGATGTAACCGTGGCCGTCATGACCAAACGCCCGAAATGTAACGTAACCAGAACACAGGACACATTTCTTTAAATACGATGTTTACATTTGGAGTCTGCGTTGTGGCTTTTTGATTTTGCTTTTTGAATAATACGTTCTCTCTCTTAGAGTCACATCTCTACCATCACTATTTTGGCTTAGATTTTTGATTTACATGTTTAGATGTCTTTTATGCCTTATGCAATGCTTAAAAGTGATCTGTTTTATTTTCTCATACTACTCTCTGCAATAGGTGGAGGAGGGGAAACTCGTCTTGGAAATAATGCAGCCAGACTTTGAATCTGTGACTTTTTAAAAAAAAAAAAAAAAACTTCCTACCAGACAGCAGCTCATGTCTATTCTTAAAATTTCTTGACAAATTATTTGAGCCAAACTGACGAGCTCAAAATGAAATTGACAAAAAGCAAAGCGTGGTGTAAAAATGACAAAGGGAGTTGTTAAAATTAACCGAATGATTCACGGTTGGTGAAAATTAGAATCCTGGATTGTTGGCCATCTTTTTCCAAATAAGGAGAAAGAAAATGTTTGAAATATTCTGGCAACGAGGCGTCTTTCTTTCTTTCTTTCTTTCTTTCTTTCTTTCTTTCTTTCCTTCTTTCTTTCCTACATTTCTTACAGAATGAACATTTGGGATTTATTTTACTTTTTCACAACAGTGACTCTTCATTTCAAAGCTGCCAAGAACCTTTCAGTCAAAATCCCAATTTGCTTCCCTTCGGTTTTAACCACAAAATGTCTTGAAATGGACTTTTGTTCCTCCAAGCTGCCCGTTTCATTGCTCTTAAAATAAATGTTGACAAATGGTGACTGATTTGTTTGTCTTGGAAACTTCTGGGCCTCTACCAGATTTTTAGCAGTTTAAATTTAAAACTGAGACAATACAATACTGTCTTGCTTTGTGGTCATCCATCCACCAGGATATACAGTACATACATCTTTTTCATAGTACTTTGGAGTATAATGTGTACATTATACAACATGTTGGCTTCTCTTCTTTTATGTAGCTCAAAATAAACCAATCAAATCTCATTCCGGGATTTACTTGCTGCCAACGGCGCCACAGCGATAAAGTTTAAAGAGCCTATCTCCCTTCCCATTGGCATCGGGTTTTTGATTTCATTTTAATTAAAGTTAAAACTTTAAGAAAAATAAAAGTCACACTTTGGTTGATGCCTTTTCAAGGTTTAAAAGCAACTTAAATTTGAGTTGAAGTGCTTCAACCAGCCAAAACCGACAGTTTCTGCTTTTGTTATAGTTTGGTAATATTTCTGCTGGTTTTCATTTTAGAGTCAAAGAAAACAAAAGCGCAGTATTTGTGACTAACGGCCTTTCAAACTCAAGTGCACTTCTGGGCTGAACATTTTTAGCATTTTCATTTGAACTCGGCAAACAGATATTTTATTTTATTTTTTTAGAAACGGTAATGTAACTTTCATCAGCCGGTATTTCTCTGGGCGACAAACTGCAACGACATTTGAGTTGTTTTACCTCTGGATTTTTACCTGCATTTCACCTCAGACGCCCTGATGTTGCCTCTACAGACGTTTACTTATGTTTGGATTAAGTTTTTTGAGTAAGACAGAACAACAAACATGAGCTCCAACTGTTCTCCAAGAACCTTTACGCCAGCCGTTTCTTTTAGCTGAAGTCAAGATGTCCGTCTTTGGAAAAGTTTCAGCAGTTTTGTTGTAATTGTGGAGCCTGTGCAAATAGGAAGCTTATTACAAACAGAGGAGGAAGAAATGTTTCAAAGCCCCCAGAAATCCTGACGGCGCCAGTTAATCTTCTTGTGAAGCTGTGTTGACATCTTTATTCTAAATTTGTATAAATTTAATTAAAAAATGATTCAACAAGCTGGCGTTTAACTTTCTTCAAAGAGCGCCACCCACACGCCAGTCGCATCACAGTCAGTTAAATGAATTTAAATTGCAGCAAGTCGACTGAAGATTGTTTCGTATTCAGTAACAAAAGACTGGTAATGATGTCTGATCACATTTTGATAATTGGAACAATGTAGGATGTAAATCACTTCTTTAATGTCTTAGTAAATATCACAGAGCAGTATTTTAGGTTTATTAGTCAAAGTTGCATAGTGTTAGAAAAGCATCAGCGTCCCTCTCTATGTTCATAATACCTTAGAAACATGACTACACTACCTTGCAGGAATATTCACAACTTTTCCACATGTTATAATGTTATGGCCAAAACCCTTGATGTAATTTGTCAGGATTTTATGCAATAGACTAATTCAAAGTAGGGCAAAACCTTAAAAACTTTCAGACGAAAACTGGTAGATGTACGTAACCCCTTTTAATCCGGCTTCTCTAAACGTGTGGTGCAAACCTGCCAAGACACGGCGGTCCACCTAAACTGAGAGGCGGGGCAAAAATCTGAGAAGAAGCAAAGAGGCGACTCTGGGGGAGCTGCAGAGGTCCACAACTTAGCCAAAAGAACGATAGCTGTTCACTCCATTAATGGACACAGCAAATATCTAGAAGGATGTGTTCCAGTCAGATGTGAACCAACTTTAACCCGCCTGCAAAACACTTTATATGACTTAAAAACTAAAGCTTTTATTCTTTGCTTTTATTCAGCACGGAGGGGAAGCTGGACAAACTTTTCAGGTTTTTCTTTGTGGTCACTGAAACCACAAATTATTTTCCTTCTGTGTCATAAATACCCACCACTTGGTTCTGTCACAGAAAATCCTAAAAGAAAATGTGGAGCTTGTGTTTGTAAACTTGATAACTTTACAATAGATGTGACATAAACACTGTTCTTCATCACCTACTGACCCAAATGCAAGTTATCCTGTGAAGTGATTTTTTAAAATTCATTTTTAAAAACGTAAAAATGCTCTAAGAATTTAGCATCGATTTCATCAGTGATTTTCCTGTAGATGCTAATTTGAGTAGTTGCCAAGCCAAAGTTAATACCGTTACTATGGCACATGGTTTGCACTGGGAGGTCACCGGGATTTAAAGCAGCCGAGTTTGTGTATATTTTAATGTAATTCAGAGTTCGCCACCTGCTGCTGTCGTGAGGTATCCGAGGACCTCTTCTGTCGCCATCTGCATTTCATGTAACACCGGGAACTTCGGTTGCATAACAGCCTCTCGTACGGAAAGCAACCAGAAGTGCGACCGAACGAGTGCGGGGATGTGTAGCGGTGCTGCTGCGCTGACGTGAGGTGAGAGGACAGTTGTCAGCGGACGTTTGGCCACTTTAAGCTTCCCACGCGCTCACACACACACACACACACACACACAGGGCTTCAGTCCGACACGTACCTGCTCCGAGAAGCCACAGCAGCTGCCACGGTCTCTCACCGAACCCATCAGTCATGTTCGGGTACCATCTCACGCACACACACTCGGCGGCAGCCTCCATGTCATCTTTCTCATTATCCTGCCTCAGCAGGCAGTTAATGGGCCAGGATGAGCAGGAGGTGCTCAGGCTGCTGGTGCAGGTTTGCACCAGGAAGCAGAATTGCAAATTGGGGTTTATTTATTTTTTGTCTGATTAATGGTTAAACTTTTTGTAAGAAAAAAAAAAAAAGGAAAAAAATAGCTGTTCGTGAATAGAGAAGCAGGTTGGATTGTTGGATTCAGCTGTAAATTTTAAATATGTTTTGACCCGGTTATTGCGTTTTTTACTTTTGCCACTTACTGAAGTGAATAAAGCCGTCACATTAAATGTTAAACTGATCATTCTGGCACTTTTTCTTTTTTTACCCTGTTGAGTTTTGAATTGTTATAGATTTTGAACCTTCGCAAGCTTAATAAAATATTGTCATATTCAAGATGCCCTAATTTCACTGCTTGCAAACCTTTTAGAGTACAGGGTTTGTCAGAGTGTAGTGATGAGTTTTTCATTTGCTTCTTCGTAAACTACATGTGGAAATGATAATTATTTGACTAGTTGCCTTCATTTAGCCAGGAATCAGTATTCAGACTGAACACGTGGCGGGATCCTGATCAGATAACTCTACGCTCTCCCCAAATGGTGACCCAGGAAAAAATGTAGAGCTCAACTATGGTGCAGTTACATAACGAATGTAAAACAGTTTTTAGTTATCTGGTCTCTTCACTACTGACTGCTGCATTGGTACAATGGCCAAACCTGGTGCAGCGATCGCCTGGTGGGCCCTCTCTCAGAACTGCTTATTTTAATCAATCAAATACAATAATATGCATTAATGGCCACAGTGGAAACCGCAGAGGCTAAAACACACGTTTCTCCTTATCTCCACTTGGAGGGTAAAAGGAAAATGAATGCCGCTCCTGGATTGGCTACTTTGTAAACGACAGATTTTAACGTGCCACCTGTTGCATCTTGGTATTTCAGTTTCTTAAGGTGCATTTTCGTTTGAATTTTTTTTTTTTACATATGATCTACACAAAAACCCACAACAAAGCAAAATCTCCGCAAATAATTTGGTGTCGAGCTCCACAGAAAAAAAATCACAAATAGGTGAATCTGTGTCTACTGAACTGCTAGGGAAGAAGATGACAGGAGATGCTTAAACTTGGTCGTAATTTTATTGTAAATAGTTGACAAACTTGCGAAACATGACAAAAACAAGCATACAAAATAACGCAGAGATGCTTTATTTTGGTATTTATGTCCAAATAAGAAAATTATTCTTATTTTGTGCAGTTTTGGCTGCATCTGACAGAGAGCAGTGTCGCATTAGAGACGGGAGGCCAACAGGAAGTCAAGCCTGTCCAACGCGTCTTCCTTCCCTCTCTGTCTGCAGGGTTTTCACCGCTGAGCCCCAGCAGGTTCAGCCTCCAACGTTTCCCCTGGAGGGAAAGTCTGTTATGAAAAAAGGCCCCCCAGCCACAGTGCTGTGGGCAAACCCAATGTTCTAATGACGCCCATTATAAAACACCACACTTCTGCGACGGCTGGCTTGCTGTCTGATCAATTAGGTTAGGCGTTGCCAAAGGCTGCACCCACCGAGATTCTGCCGGCGTCTAATGGCCTCTCACTGATCGTAAGTGTCCCCTGGGATCGATGCCCCTCAGCTGTGGGTAATGGCCACTGCTTGATGCCATTTAGGGAGAGTCCCTGAAATAGAAGGATTCACCTTTGTCCGTCTTCTTCTTCTTTCTCAACACAAACTGTGTTTTATCCATTCGTAGCGCCAAAGGTCAGGCGGGGTGAATCGACACACATTTCAGTTGGTATCTGTAGAAACGCTGGGTCTTTCTCCGGACAATCACAAGACGTGTGCGCGCTCCGTATTGAGAGTATTTTGTACAATTCAGGCGTTTCAAACACTTCCAGACTGCAGCTCCTAAGCCTGCAGATACCGTCTACAACCAGTTGTGAAACAGTAGCACCATAACGGGATGCATCGATGCAGTAAGTCCAGATCAGGATTTTTTTTTTCCACAGGCACCTGTTGTTGCATACCAAAAACACCAACGTGGCTTCTTTAGTTGAAATTGAAGAATCATTTAATGATGAGAGGGACATAAAGAACAATAGAAGAAGTTTATTTCTTTGAACATGCGTTCATTTAATCTAAATTTCCATGTGTAGTTATGCCGAATCTTTCCTTGCATTTAGTCGTTTAAACCTTAATGCTTTCCTAACTGTTTTTCTTTTATGTGATGTTAACTTGCATCAAAAAGGTTAAACTTGGTTGTTTGATCCAAAAAGCTTCCTTACGTTTCATACATTTGCGCTAGAGACAAAAACATTTTGTCTTTTTAAAGGTCGTTGTCGTGTTTATGGATAAATTCACCGAGAAACACAATCGCCGTGCAAAAATGCCCACTTTCTCCGCTCAAGCAGAAAACTGCAACCACAAAAATGCGAAGTGACTAACACACATCCTCTCTCTCCATCATGGCCTCAGTCAGTAGGTGGGACAGGTAGTGAATGTTGTGTTGCCCCGTGTTCGAAGCAGAAGAAACTGGAGAGTTTAATTATTTGAGTGAGTTTTGACAATTGCTATCTTGCGATGGCTTAATGACTGCGTCAGACTGTTCCTAAAACTGTGAGGTTTTAGGAACCTTTGTGAGGTTTCTCCTCGTCTGCAGCGGTAACAAAAATTTGGCCCGAGAAGGGAACGGTGGCGAACCCCTGACGGGTTGAATCATGTATGTGCTGAGTGAGGTCAGGCGGGTGTGGTCTCACCTGCTGCCACTCAGACTGCTGAAGAACTTCAAGCTGATTCAGAGCAAAAGGTTTCTGAAGCATAAAAGCTGCCAGTAATGATCTCAACTTTACTCTCCTTCGTCAAGCCTGGCCTTTAGACGCCTTCCCACTTCAACCCATCCGTCTTTCGCCATAAATCACGCCGACGACAACTCGAAGAAAGCCGTTCAGTTAAAATGGACTGAGGGAACGTTTTGGCTTTTTGTTCTGCCGACTGAATGTGAGCGAACAGATTTGGGGCCCCGCTTATTTCCCTCTTCTCATCCGAACTCGGTATTAGCAGAGAAAGTGACCGTGGGCCTTGTTTCCAACAGCTTGGATCTTGGATAAGAAGCAATGACGGAGTCGACAAACGACTAAATGGTGTAATTAAAAGGAAAATTATTTGGTCAGGTTTACTAATTAAGCATAATTAGCCTCCAGAGTAAAATGAACAATGCAACGGGGGAATACAGTGTTCCTGTATGATTGCAGAGCTGTCAGCAGCTCCTGTGTCGGCGTTGATCAGACGTCTGCATTTAAATAACTCCAAACAACATTAGTTGGTCGTTAAGTGCTGAAGTCTCAAGAGCCTCTCAGCCTCCAGGGGAGCCCAGCTTTTGATTACGTTTGCGACGACAAAATGAGTAAGACGCACCCCGTTGCATTAGCATGACATTTTGCCTGTGTAAAAAAAAAAAAAAAAATTAAAAAAATGAGGTACTTGAGTGTAATGAGACGAACATCAGAAAAAAAAAAGTCGCATCCCGGGTTTGGTTTCTTCGATCGAAACGAGAGAAATAAACACAGAAAACGGAGCAGCTGCCTGATTTCTAGTTTGCTTTTGTACTTGCAGGGGCAGCGTTTGTTTTCCCTCCGGAGGCTGCGCTTCCCGAGAGGCCCCGGAGCGAAAGCGTCACGTACGTGAATATTCCCGTCAGCCCGACGTCTAAGAAACAACTCAACTACATGGAGCTGGAGCTGCAGGAGCCGGGCCACAGCGCCAGAGGGACCGTCGCACATCTGCCGTCTCAGAGTAAGAATTTACTGCGAGTGACATCTGCTGAATGAGAGGCCTCATCTTCAGTCCCCGGAGCGTCTCCGGTTTGGTTTCTGAGCGTCCGCCGTGTGTTAAGGAAACGATTCAGCCCGTAGGATGACTTTTCATCAGCAGATCACAGTCTGTTTATTCTTCAGTAAATCCTTTGTGGGTTTTAAAAGTAAATCTTTGTGATGATCCAAGGGAAATTGAGTTTTTTTTTTGTTTTTCAGTTGTCAATATAAGCTTACTTAACTGATTTAATCTACTATTCAAATTCATGGTTACAGAGGCTGTTGCTAATAACAACAGTGTCTTCTCTCTAAATAGTTTTTTTTTTTTTTTTTTTTTTTACCCATGAACGCTGCAGGAAACGGAGAAGAACGCAGCTGAAAAGTTGTTTAAACCCGAGCTTGAAAAAGAAACACAAACCTGGAGGAAGTCGTGATTTCCAGCGGGAATTTATCCAAATGAGCAGGAAAAATGAGCTCCGACAACATCCGGGTCCACAGTCGCTCCCTGCTGTTAATCCGATGAGACTGCAGTCTCTCTCAGGTGGAGGCGCCGTCCTCTTCTGGCCTGAGGTCGCTGCTAAGAAGCCGAGAGGCGCTGGTTTCTCCTGGTGCTGCTTTCAGGATGCACATGAAATTCAGGACCGAGGTGATACGCCTGAAAGTTGTCTCTGAGGGGAAAAAAAAAAAAAAAAAGAAAAAATCTTGATAAAAAGAAGATTATAGTTAGAGCACAGTGCAATCCGGACAAAAACACTGATGGTATCGTAACGTATTGATCAGGTCTTGGTTCTTTAGAGGGAAGAATATAAACAATCATCGTTGTACCTGAAAGTTTCTCCAGAGTAAAAGTTTTTCCACAGTCGAGCTTTGCCGCATTCCTTCTTTTGAATAACATGTAGCAACCTGTTAGTTACTGTTTAAATCTAGCTAAAGAGCTATGGACTGAATTTCTAAATTTTCCAAAATAACCTAATTTATATCAGAAACATTTCTGACACATATTCACAGGCATTCAGACAACATACTAATGCTAACATAAACAAACATGACAGAGTGCAAAGTTTGCACTGCTTCAGTTTTAGTTTGCACATTCATATAATATTACTGTGCTCCAGTTAAATCATCCAGTGGTTTACATGCATCATTTCTACCTCACACACACACACACACACACACACACACACACACACACACTCCTCATTCACACCTGGACTCCTCTCTCCTCAAGAAAGGAGTCCAGGAGCAAAGCAGTTAAATGTGTGAGAAAAGGTCAGATTTGGTGTGTCCATGAACTTTACACCAAAAAAATATAGAAGCGAGTGTTTGAAGCGCTGAACCTTGACGGTTTTTTTTTTTTTCCCCACAAAGCTTTCCCTGTTTCTGATCACCATCTGTACGCAGCCGCTTTTTCAGGCATTTGCTCCTCAAACCCGGCAGACCGCTCTGAAAGAGCCCGCTTACAATAATTCAGCGCGCTAATGTCAAGGCTGCATCGGGGGGCAGGATAAAGAGTCGCTGTGGCCGCATGAATCATCGGTGACTCGGTTCGGTCCCATCAGCCGCCGCAAGACTCCCACCGGAACTTTTACCGAAAGACGTCGGAGTCCCGGTGACCGGAGACGGAGCGGCGAGCCGTAATTCACAGACGGGTTTGGTCTTATCGTCGCTGCCTCCGAGAACACGAGAAGGGCGTGAGGTCAGAGGTCGGCGCCTTGATGGCGGCGTTGCAGTTTATCTCTTATTAACGAGTCACCCGGGAGGAAGGGCGTCCTGCCTCACCACCGAGGCCCTCGGGTCGCAGCTGTGAGTTGGCCCTCTCTAATGGAGTCGTCCTACCGGGACCGCCGATAGCCGGGAGAAGCCGGGTTGAATTTCTTTCCCTTTCTGAGAGACGATAAAACACGACCGAGGTGCAGAACAGCAGCCATTTGCATTAATATTGAGTCTAAGTGTGACTGGTGCAACTCTATAAAATGGTTTGTATCCCGATTTATAGAGATGTATTTACTTCATAATGATTCATTACATACAAACATGTTTAAGTTATTTCTGTTTGCTTTGGTAACTGAAATAAACAAGATGTTGCTTGTCAGAAAATTAGAATTTTATATAAGACGAGTGAAAAGAAGCATTTTTGGCAGTGATTGTATTAATAAAGACATGAAAGACAAAATTCAGCTGAATTATTTGCATATTTTCTCTGATTTATGTGTGGAAACTTGATCCGGTTTGCGCAGAAGGAGAAATTTAAAGACCCAGAAGATCCTGCAGCTTATAATTCCTTATATAATGTTTGTACTGGTCCAAAATCTGTTGACCAACTATTTTTATTCATTATCAGATGAGCTAAAACTTCCAGCAGCAAAAGGATGTAAATATTCTGCAGAAAAGACCATGAAATAAATAAAAAAAAAAACTCTTTTTTTTTCCCCTCTATTTTTATTTCTTTATGATTTTGTCGCATCCGAGTTCAATCCAGACAGAAATCTGCCCTGAGCCTGGCTTTGGAAGCAGCCCTCTCCTACCAGTTCACAAACAGCTTAAGGCATTACGGTTTGCATTGTTCATGACATCTTTGTGATCTCTTTTATTAGAACTGAACTCAACTTTAAGCAGGTTTAAGCAGGCGCACACATCAAAGGCTCAGGGCATTGAGTAATCGCATTCAGCGCCACGCACACGCTGAATGTGTTTCCTGTTGTTTTTAAAAACACGGTGACGCAAGACGTTCTGTGGCTATGTACGGGTGTAGATTAAAGGAAAGCTGCTTTTTTTCCCCCCCTGGATTTCCTAGCTGACGCATCTGCAGGTAACTTTTTTTTGTGAAGTCTTTTGATTTTGGCTTAGACACAGCTCATCCAATTCAGGTGAATATTTTACTGTCAGGTTTTGTTTATTGCCTTCTCATTGCGCTCTACTAGCTCAGACGAGTTAGTCGGTGAAGCAATAAACTTTTTCTGAGCTTAGACTCTAGAAAAGACCTTTTCCAGATGAATTCCAGATGACAACCTTGTTTCTCCTGCAATTATTCATTTTTTTTTTTTTTTGACAGGAAAGAGCTCCACCAGGTATGCTCAGATCGACATCACCGCGACGGAGATGGCCCACAGAGTCGGCGCGCAGCACGCCCTGGGCAGGCAGGAGGGTCTGCACAGCCTGGAGCTGAGGAGGAAGGGAACGCCGCACTGACCCCCCAGCGCTTTGGATTCGCCGCGTCGGACTGCATCCGCCGGAGATGTGAAGAACTTGATGGGAGCGTTTTTGTTTTCTGTTCTCTTTACAGTTTCTAAGCACAGACCGGGTTCACGCATGCTGGAATCCACGAACATGTCGTGCTCACGTTGTTAGGGCGGCAGGCCTTTGCTTCTGTAATCAAGGAGCCGCGATAAACGCGGCTGTGCGGTTTTGCATGAAGCCAGGCGCGACGTTTCCACCTCGTCCTCTCAGAGAGTCGGTTGCATCACTAAATGGCGCTGCGCCAACTAAAAGGAGAAGAGCACTGACCCAGAGATGAGTCACGGCCCAAATGCCTCCCCCTCGCTCAGCTGCATCCCAGCGCCATCTTGGACCGTCCCACATTTTTTTTTTTTTTTTATCATCATCGTTTGGGAAAAACAACAGAGATGAAGCAAGAGGTGATTATTCCATGAGGTAGTTATTAATTGCGCTGTGCTAAGCTGCTCGGATTTGGCCTAAAGCCGTCCATCCAGTCTTACTCAGAGCGCTGAGCAGGAGAAAGTAAATGACGAGTTGCGGTGAGGATCTGTAATTGTTCCACGTTTCTCCGCTGCGCCTGCTGACCTGCGTTGGCCTGCTGTGACTAACAGATGCTGTTTATTGTTTGAACAGAACCCGAGTGCTGCTTTCGTTGTTTCCTCCGTAGGGATTTACTGTGGGAAACTATTTATGACTTCTGCATAGACGAGAGAAAGCAATGTTTGGAGATTTTCTTTAGAGATGTTTAAATAACAGCAATGTTTGTTTTGTGTCCTTTTAATTTTTCCTCGTTTCTTGTGCGGTACATCGGTAGACCTCGGCAGAGTGTCGTTTCCGTCTCGTATTCTGCTGCGTTTCACCCGCGGTTGACTTCAAGAAGACGTTTATTTAATTTTATACACAAGTTAAGAATGTATAATTAGTGCTTTCTAGGTAAAAATTTTCTTTTTTTAGTAAGTTATTTATTACTACAACTTTTGTGTGTTTTTTCAGTGTTTACAGTTGCGGTGAAAAATTTCCATGCACCCATTAGGGGCCTTCATTCATGTTTTATATTTTTAATGGTTGATTTGATGATAATGCACCAGTACCACTAATGGCACAGCATGCCTCCGCCCCCACCATGCTTTATAGCTGGTGCAGCATTGTTGGGTGTGAAAATCTCACCCCGACTCATCCAAGCTCACCTGTTAACACCGAGACCAAATCCTTTGAGTGTCGCATTTCTCTCCAGAAGTAACTGATCTCGTTCATGTAGGCGGCTGCACGTTTTAGTCTTTCCTGAAGGTGTAAATTTTGGAGCATCAGCTTCTTTTTCTGGTTGGTACTTTCTGGGCAGAGACACATTTGATCCTGTATTTTCTACTTCTTTGCAGCCTTGTGGCACGTTCCTGAATTCACTAATCTCCTTCCATCCGAGCGTGTTGTTTTTGTCTTCGTCCAAGCTTTCCTGGAAGTCAGTAAAATAATCTTTAACTGGATAAAAAATAAATATTTGGTCTGTGCACAAGGTTCATAATGTTCATGCTCTATACCAGACCAGAACTATACAGTCAAACTCCAGTCAGATTCAGTGTCTATTCTTTGAGAAGACATTAATAGAGTAGCTCTATTGAGAAACCACAAAGCCACATTAATAAGTCTACATACTTTAAAGAGTGCTAAGTACTGATTTTCCCGGCTGTTTTTCTGGAAATGCTCCCCCCAAAAAAGCACCAATCACCGCACATTGTCAACATGTAATAAAAATAGATTTACGGTAATCCTGAACTCTTTCATCAAAAACACTTCGTATAAGTCAAAATGTAAAGATGAACTCGCATGTCTGACAGGGACATTGTAGTTTTCATTGTAATTTCTCTGCAGAAAATGTTTTCATCTGAAACGTCCGAGTATGAAACATGCAAGATGTGCTGGAATACGAAATATGCTTTTTCAAAAGGACAGACAAAAGCCAGAGTTTCAGATTTATTGCTTTCCGACGATCAATGTTGTAAGAGGTTAGTGTCTTCTGTCTCTGGTTTTACCTTCCTCGACTAACATGTATTTTTATTGGTGGTTGATTATTGCAGTTTGATAATCATGTAATGCAGTAAGAACGAAAACCGAATCACACTCATTTCCAAAAAAATGTCAATTGTAAATAAAATGGGATGAATAGTAAACCTTTCAAAGTTTGTGTTCATTTAATTTTGATTGCTGGATTCTTCAAGGCGTTAAGCCGTCTCCCATCAGCAGCTGGGACTGGGATAACCTGAACAGATCAACTTTAGGAAAGGTAATAAAAAACAAACTGAAGAAAGTGTAAATGTTGAAAACTTACAGAAAGGATAATCTGGACAACTTGTCAGCAACTTAGAGCTGGAGTTTTTAGAAGAAGCTCGTGACTAAGTACTGCTGAACAATTTAATTGCTGTACTGTTAAATATACAATTTAATCCTGTTTATTTACATGCCACCGATTCACAGAAACACTGTCTCAAAAGAATCATTTTAATTCAATCATGCATACATTCTAATTGATCCTAGTTATCAGCTACAGTAACAGTGAGATCAATTAGTTATTCAAATTGGTTAAAAAGTTTCTATTTGAGGAAACCCGGCAGGTTGCACTAAGTTACTGACTCGCAGCATTTCTTCCTCCTGGATGAGCTGAAACCACGTTTTCGTGCTCTGGTATAAATATAATGTGTTCCACAAACTGTATTCAGGTTTTTTATGTGTGTTGTTTTTTGTTTTTTTTTTCCCAGAGTATTGCCTTCGTCCTCTTCAAAAGGTCTGTTGATTTTGTTCTGGGATTAATTTCCACATTTCATCTCCAGACAAAAACCCGTCTCCTTCCTCAGCT